AATGTGTGTGTGTGTGTGTGTGTGTGTGTGTGTGTGTGTGTTTCAGAAAACAAGATGCACATTGAAACATCAAAACAGCCTGTGACCCCAAAAGAATCAGAGTTCAGGTTTTGTTTTTTATCCTTCCACGGTTTTCTCTGTCTTCTCCCTCCTTTAGAAACCACATCACTGACTTCCGTTTTGATGGCTGGGGTGGAAAAGAGCCACAGGGTCTTCAAGTAGCAAGCACAGGTGGCCAGCCCTGCAAACCCAGGCTGCAGTAGCTCTCTGCTGCCCTCTCCTCTCGCCCTGGCTGTCAGGGGAGAGCCCACGGAGACCCCCAACCCCACACCCTCTGTTCCTCCAGCCTGTGCTCTGACCGAGGGTGGGAAATCCAGTCCCTGCATGAAATGCATTTGGGAACCCCAGGGACTTTAAGGAAACAGTAAGTGGGTCACAGGTGAAGCAAATGTCGCTCTCCTCTGATGACCTCATTTTCATTCATTAAATGAATGTAGCGCATTGGGGCAAATACCAGCCAATTCCAGTGTAGCAGAAAATTGCCTCCCCCTGGGAAGCTGTCCTTTCAAATATGAGGAGTATAAAGGGACTTTTCACACATCCAAGAACAGAAAGCCTTAGCCACCACCTAATTATCGTTTGCAGTCCTTAGGAGTCACCACCCCCACCCATCCTGAATGCCAGCTGGACTTTCTCAGGCATCTTGATGCCAGTTTGCAGCCTTCCTCAGTGTGGTCCATCCAGCTAGTCCCCTTCAGTAACTGCTCTATGGTGATCACCTCCCTAGGGGACAACTAATGTAGCCTGTGTGACTGACCCCCCTGACCCTCACATCCCACCCGGGCCATGCAGGTAGGTCACACGACCCCCTCTACGTCATCACATGACCTCCTGGAACAAGCACCTCCTGCTCTAAAGTCACCCACTCACCCCCTCCCATCCCCATCCCCCTTGGAAAAGGTGCTTGAACAACACTGGATGCAATAGAGTTCTCTCTCTCTCTCTGTCTGTCTGTCTGTGCTTCCTGACTTTGCATGTGTATGGTCTTTGGGTGTGCCGGGTACCCCTAGGATGTGTAAGCAATACAATATTTCTAGCTTGTTTGTCTCCTGATCATTGGAAGAATGCTTTCCATCTCAATGAACCTCAATTAAGTGTGGGGAATATGCTATGGATTTTACATCTGTTACTGTCTTATCCACACCTGGGAGAAAGCCATGGCTAATTTGACAGGAGCCTGGCCTATAATCCAGAGTCCTGGCTCAAGTCCTGGCTCTGCTACCAATAGGCTGTGTGTGTACACAAGAGCTGTAGGTCTGAGCCTTCAGGCAGAGAGGAACGATACAACAGAAGGCTAAGAATAGCGCTTCATACATGAAGTACGTGAATATGGTTTCAACAATCATTGCTATGACTCTTCCCATTCTAAACACAATGAAACATAGGTTTAACAGCTACATGGTTTGCATTGAGTCACAAGGGCAACCTAGATCTCCGGGTTTCATGCCCAGGAGCTTCTGCACAGTCACAAGTGGTCACCAGTAGGGATCTGAGACTTAAATTATAAATGATACTCATACCACACAACAAGGACATCAGCTAACTATTGCGTGGAAAGTTTACAAACAATAAACATATCTGAGGTAATGTTTTAAGTAGAAAGAAACTATTACATCAGGAATGTACCTTGTGTGCAAAGTCAGACGCAGACTTTGTATAAAACCTTACAGACAATAAAACCATGTCTTCTTTGTCCTTTGAGTCTAAGTATTCAACCAGACCTCTGGAATGGCAGGTGCACGTTCAGCCAAGGACAGGGCCATGGGAAGGAAGAGCAAACACTGCCAGTGTTCCATTTGGTGCAACCCAACTCTTTCTGTGCCCCTGCCCTGCGGAAGGGCACAGGTTTCTCCAGGCTGTAGCCTGCCCTTACTTCCCAAGGACGCAACATCCTCAGACACCCTTGTCCAGCACTGAGCCCCTGTACCATACTTCTCACGTTCTGGCTCACACTGGATGCCATGGTTTTCTGGCTGTCACCTACCTGTTCACAAAGTCAGGAAGAGTCAGGAAGGGCAGGGAGATCAATGAAATCTGAAAGTAACTGGATTTTAGTCAATCGAGACATTGCTTGCCCAGGACCTTTTATTTGGCCTGATGTGTTAATTTCTTATTTACAATTGTGTTCTATTTTAAAGGTGGTTCATTTTTAGAGAAAAATGTGCTCGGGCTTCCGGTATCATATACAGTTCTTGGTTTGCATGTTAATGAGCCACGGACGTTAGAACATTGTTTCAAATATCCAGGGCCTCCTGTCTGTATTTATCCTGCCCACTGACAGCAGGCTTCCTCACTGCCTGAAATGTGAATACAAATGACACTCCAGGGCACAAGCCTCAGAGTCATTCTGTGTTCAACCATCCTGTTGCCCTTTGCTGGCATCAGCATGGTTGCTAGAACGAGCGGGGCAGCGAGCGGGACCGTTCCGTTAGCTAGAGCCTGAAACACAGAGGTCGTGGAAAGCAGACCACAGCCAACTCCCAGCAGCATGCCCTACGGCGCAAGTGGGCAGCACACCTCCGTTATCATAACCACTGCGGCTTGCGGGGCTCTTGTCGTTGTGGCAAAGGCTACTTAATTCCAGCTACTAGATTCACCGGCTCTCATTTAGGTCACTGATCTTAATGTAAAATCCCACTTATTTGCAGTGAAAAGCTGTTGGAAATAATACTTAAAACGGCCACAGTCATTTTTCACAACACCTGGGGCTGGAGCCCATATATTCTTGCAGTAATGATATCATCTTGTTAGTACTCAGAAGGCAAACTGGCCCTAGGAGTGTTGTGGTGCTTCTGGGCACAACTTAATTTCCCTACACAATGGAGTTTCCATTCTAAGTTTCTGTTCTGTGCCCTGGAGAAGTCTGCAAGCCACAGACACCATGCTCCTTCTTTCAGGGCCACACTGGAAGCTTACACAAGCCTCACGGTCCGCTCCCTCTAGCGCACATAGACACAGCCAAGTCTAATCTCGTCACAACATCCAGAGAGAGCTCAAAGGTTAAGAACTCTTGCTATTTCCTCTAAAGATGATTTGAGATTTTAAAAATTCACTAGTTATACAAAGCCACAGCCAAACAAATCATCAGACACAGTATTTCAGGGCAGAAGGACCATGATGAATGACAAACCAAAGGGACGCCTAAAGGGTTATATCTGGGAATCTCACTTTTAGAAAATGAAATAACACATAAGCAAACATGTCTGGTACACCCAATTCCTGTCTGAGAGCAGAAAAATATTTTAGTGCTTATTCATTTCAGAAAGAAGATATGTAAACCATGGGTCCGGTAACAGAGTCCTGGTTAAGTTTAAAACACCCTGAATACAAATTACATACACAGGCAATAATAATATATTAAATAAAGTATAGTGTCATATTAAATATATATACATATATATATACACACACACACACACACACACACATACATACTTTGGATTTCATCTTAAAGGACTCTCAAAAAAAGATCTATTTATTTATTTTATCCATGTTTTTCATGATAGGGTTTCACTGTGTGCCCATGGCTGTCTTGAAACTCATGAAACTCCCTCTCGACCAGGCTGGCTTTGAACTTAGAGATCCACCTGCCTCTGCCTCCCAAGTGCTGGGATTAAAGGTGTGTGCCACCACTGCCCAGCTATTTGGCTATTTATTTCTCTCTGTATCTGTGTGTGTGGTGTGTGTGGTGTGGTGTGTGTGGTGTGGTGTGTGGTGTGTGTGTGTGTGTGTGGTGTGTGTTGTGTGGGGTGGTGTGGTTTGTGTAGTGTGTGTGTGTGGTGTGGTGTGTGGTGTGTTTGTGTGGTGTGTGTGTATGTGTGGTGTGTGTGTGTGTGTGTGTGTGGTGTGTGTGTGTGTGTGGTGTGTGTGGTGTGTTTGTGTGGTGTGTGTGTGTGGTATGTGTGGTGTGGTGTGTGTGGTGTGGTGTGTAGTGTGTGTGTGTGGTGTGTGTGGTGTGGTGTGTGGTGTGTGTGTGTGGTGTGTGTGTGTGTGTGTGGTGTGTGTGTGTGTGTGGTGTGGTGTGTGTGGTGGTGTGGTGTGTGGTGTGTGTGTGTGTGGTGGTGTGTGTGTGGGGTGGTGTGGTGTGTGTGGTGTGTGTGTGTGGTGTGGTGTGTGTGGTGTGTGTGTGTGTGTGTGTGTGTGGTGTGTGTGTGTGTGGTGTGTGGTGTGTGTGTGTGTGTGTGTGTGTGTGTGTGTGGTGTGTGTGGGTGTGTGTGTGGTGTGTGTGTGTGTGTGGTGTGTGTGTGTGTGTGGTGTGTGTTATGTGGGGTAGTGTGGTTTGTGTAGTGTGTGTGTGGTATGTGTGGTGTGGTGTGTGTGTGTGGTGTGGTGTGTGTGTGTGTGTGTGTGTGTGGTGTGTGTGTTGGTGGTGTGTGTGGGGTGTGTGTGGTGGGTGTGGTTTGTGTAGTGTGTGTGTGTGGTGTGTTTGTGTGGTGTGGTGTGTGGTGTGGTGTGTGTGGTGTGTGTGTGGTGTGTGTGTGTGTGTGTGTGTGTGTGTGTGTGTGTGTGTGTGTGTGTGTGTGTGTGTGTGTGTAGTGTATACGAAGTACAGGTACATGCAGAACCCGAAAGAGGAGGTTGGCTCTCTCGGAGCTGGAGTACAGATGTTGTAAACCAGCTGACCGTGAGAACTGCACTTGGGTCCTCTGCAAGGGCAGTGCTTGCCCTGAACTGCTGAGCTGCCTCCCAGCCCCAAGTCCTTTTTTCCATTCATTACTTTCGGAGTTTAAATTAGCATGGTGTTTTCTGACAACTGTGTTTCGTGTTATGTTCCCTACAAAGAACCCTGTCTAAGAACAGAATGAGGATTGTCTGAGCCCATGGCCTATGTCTGGTTGGTTTAGCAGGATGAAAGCAAACGATAGGTGCTCGCTGCTCAACCCACTCCCTGTTTACCCCGCAGCTCATCCATACGTCACGGTGTGGATGGCCGGACTCACCATATGCTGAGTAAAAACAGAAACCACCTCTGTACTGTTGTCCGAGTTCATCTTCAGCAGCCTCCCAAGTCGAGGGGCACTGACTACTGTAAAGGTTATTGTTCTGTTTCCTGCCCTGTCATCGTTGGTCACAGCTCTCAGGGCATGAGATGACAGTGACTTCGTGGAACCTAAGAGTCAAAGATACAGGTAAGTACAAAGCTCACAGAGGCAGCCAGCTCCTCAAATGACCTCTCCGGACCTCTTCCAGACTCCAGAAAGGGAGTGCCAGCCATTATCCAAAACTAGGCGATGCGGGGCTGGTGATCACTGGGATAGCTTCTCGTGGACCTGGTTTACTCATGAACCTCAGGAAAAACCAGCTCCTCAGAGCTCCTCCAGCCATGGCCTTGCATCTCTTTGATTCCCTAGATAAAAGAGTCCGTGCCAAGGCCTCTGTGGCTAAACCCTCGGTGGTAAAGAAAGATCTGACTGTGTGGTGCTGGGAAGCCAAGGGGCTGTGGTTCCCAGGAGGGTGCGGATTGCCTCCTAAAGGAGCACAAGGGACCTCCCAGGCCTGTATCAAAGGCCACGTGAATGTCAGGGCTTTGGATGCTGAAGGACCATCCTCGTGGGATGGGAAGTCTGAATGTTCAACGCCATCTTCTGGACCAGACTCCTCCCTCATCTCTCCTAACCCTTTCAAAAGGTTAGCACGAGTCCTCCGCAGAGTCAGAGTAGGTACTTTGTAAATCACTTTTGAGTTTTATCCAATAATATTAGTAAATAGTAACCATTTATTATAACACATTACTATAGAATAATAAAATAATTATCCAATAATAACTAAGCCTCATTCTAAATGGCATCTATTTTTGCTTTCCTTCCTTAGCCTTTGTAGTCTTGAATAGGAAAGGCCACCATAGTTGATATTTAAACCACATTAGGCATTTGATAATTCCTAGGAGAAGACAGCTCTGGGTCTGGAAAACTTCCAATTTTGCAAATGTGGAAGTTCCATTCAGAACACCCGAGCCTCTGAAATGAACACTAGGCTCTTGGGGGTGGGGGTGGGGTGGGAGCCCATGGAATCCAGCCTCAGAGAGAGGACCTTTCTCACACAGTTCTGCCTCGAGTTCAGGACCCGTGTGCTGCTCAGAAGTTCCCACACATCCTTCTCATTGGTGGCTGCAGTCACTTTCTGGCTTCTAGAGCGCGGTACGGGTTAGAGGTCACACCAGGCAGGCCGAGAGGCATGTTTCTGTGCCCTCCATCAACGCTATAATGCGTAACCGGGGCACTGGCACCTGCCAACTCTCCTGTTACAGCTGTCGTGTGTCTCCTGACCACCTCCACACCCAGCCTTTCCCGTCCTCGGCTCTTCTTTGGAACACCCTGCCCCATGCCTTTGTTGTTCTTCTTCACGGTGACCCTGCCTTTCAACTCACTTCTTCCTTCACTTCCCAGGTTATTTAGGGGACAGGAGTAAAAAGGGGCCTCTGTGCCCTTTTTTCCATCCAAAGGGTATGGAATCCGTTGTCAGGTGGCTTCGCCTAAGTCAGACAGGGAGTTAAGCCTGAGTGCACACACCCGATGATAAGATACGGAAAGCCTGGGGCCGTGAAGGTGGCTCATTGGAGCAGAGTGCTTGCTGCCAAGCTTGAGGACCGAAATTTAATCCCTAGAACCGCATGGTGTAAGGAGAGGATGACCTCTGATAGCCTACCACATGCACTCTGCACTCTTTTACATACATACACACATGCACACGCGTGCACACACACACAAACACACACGCACATACACATATACACAGGCGCACGGGCGCACGCACACGCACAAACACACACGCACACACACACACACACAGGCGCACGCACACACAAACACACAGGCGCACGGGCGCACGCACACGCACACACACACACACACACACTCACGCGCACACACGTAATTTAAAATGTTTTTTAGAAAGAAACTACAGTATGTCTACACAGTGAGATGGTAAACCCTTCAGCACACACCATGAATCCCTTCTCCTTTCTTGTGGTTCCCACCATGAGGGACAGATGGGTTACTGGTCTCATTTCTTCTCCTTCATGACCAAAGAGGCTGAGGTGCAGACTTAGGAGAACGGTCCTTTGGAGGTGAGCTGCTTGATTCTGCATCTACAGAAGCTGGCCTTCTGTAGGTTAATCCTCCAACACTCCTCGAAAAAATTTAGATAAACAAAAAAATCTACAGCCCAAGGCCACAGTGTATTCCAACATGCCACCACTAAAGCTAAACAAACAAAATCTATGGTAGAATTCAATGTGAAAAACTCTTACAAAACCTCTTCTTGAAGAATAAATCACAGAGAAGGCAGCAGAATACACGTCAGTTAAATACATATGAATACCTCCCAAATGTGTGTGTGTGTGTATATACACACACACGTCAGTTAAATACATATGAATACCTCCCATATATGTGTGTGTGTGTATACATATATAATATATATATATATATACACACACGTCAGTTAAATACATATGAATACTTCCCATATATATATGTGTGTGTGCATATACATACATATGCATATATATATTGTGTGTCTATACATATATACACTCATGTTATACCCACATATCTATATATGTATTCAAAATATATGCAATAAGACAAACTGAAACATTAAAATAAAATATAGTAAAAATACTTTAATTTTACTTAGGTCACAGAAAATATTACATTTAGAGTTAAAAACTAATGTTCAAATTTGACAAAGCATAGAAACTACAGTCAGTCTTAAAACAGTCACATTCTATGTACTCTAATAATTATTTTGGCTTGCCATGCAAATTTTTTTCAGTATCAAGCTAGGGTTGAGCATACACAGGAGCCAACACAGGACTTCTGAGGTCTGATGCAGAGGAGTTCAAATGGTTTGGTACAGATTTGTTGTTGTCACTAACTTATGCCAGGTTACAACACTTCCTGAGCCAAAAAAGATTAAAACGTGCAACCCTGCCACATAATTACGGCTATTAACTTGCTGTGTGTGTCACTATATCAATCATGCTTAGGAAACTAAATAAACATTATTCTGATGTCCCTTCCTCAGAGAACTGGCATTCTACAAGGGACATCCTGGGACGCTGGCCTACGTGTAAAGGAGAAGGGCTGCTTGTTACAAGCTCTAGATTCGGGATCAGAATCGCTACGCTGCCTGGAGGGCTTAAGATGTGTCACTTAGCTATGTGACACAGAAACCTCCCGAGCTTGTGTCATTTACCTTTTAATGGCTCTTCAAAAGTTGTGTTTTATATACTATTTCACTTAAATTTTTCATAGTAACCCAACGTGGTAATTGAAAACAGAAGTAGCAGTAGCTGAATGTCCAGCCTATAATAGGAATAGATTTTTTTACTCCTGCAATAGCTCTAAAATAAATCATGCTTGCACAAAAACAACAGACTTTCCCCTGGGACTTTAGAATATGGATGTCTGAACATGTGGTTCTGCAATAGCTGATGCAGGACATCTTACATCATATCCGGAGATGCAGTGTGCCTCTTCGCCCTCTGAGGGCATGGCACAGCATGATGAGGGGGGACTCTCCAGGAAGATGCAGAGCGTGGCGCCACACGCAGCTGCTGGGACAAAGAGCCCTCAGGGGCCGCTGAAGAAAGGCTAGGTGGGTCCCTGGAGAGGGGACAAGGTGACAAATCGTGTTCGTGCTAGGTCACTCTGATATACAGCGGGGGCCCCTGATACTTGGGAAAGGGGACCCGTGAGGTCCATAGAACTCGAGCACATGTGATACCGCAGTTAGGAGACTCCAACAAACATCACTGCCACTCCAGAGGAAGGGATGTGAAGATTGGCCTTCCTCCCTCCTGGCCAAGAGCTGGGACAGGAAACAGGGCAGGGTGGAGACAGTGGCCACAGAGAACCAACTGAGCTAACAGTGGAGCCAGCATCTGAGTCCCAGCCCTGAGCTCTTGAAACACAGGGGCTGGGTCATATTAGAAGGAAGATTTGCTGGAAAAAGGAACAGTTACCAGGACTGTGGACAACAATGTGCATAAAGCTATAAAGACTCTAAGTTTTACACGAATTTGGCCACTTAATGTATGCTTTCCGGCACACTGTTTCAGTAAAACATCCAGCAGAAACTCGGAAGTGTGGAAGACAGCGTTCCTGACTTTCCACTAATACAACTGTCATCAATTATTAAACCAGACTATGCCAAGCTAGATGAAAGGTATTTAATCTTCTGAAGCAGCCACAATTACCCTAGTTTTGGAATTTTAAAAATAGATCACCATGTCTTTCCGATTACCGAAATGTAGCTGGTTATTGGTTTTGTTGTTGTTTTTAAACACTAAATGACTTCCTAATTGCCTTGGGGAGAAAATGGTAGAAGTTTCATACTTACTCGGAGAGAAAATTTACAGAGCATGGAAAAACATGAAGCTCTAGTAGAAGCTCATAGGTGACCCCAGCCCTTGCTGGGATTGGAAAGGTTTCTTTCCACAGACTTAAAAGCTGAGGACAACTTAGAACTTAAAAATGAACATTTAAGGGCTGGGGATGTAGCTCAGTGGTCGAGGGCTGCTCTATCTTCAATCAACCCTCAGCATTAATTACCATCGTCACAATCAAAATTAGCAAAACATCCCAGCAGTGACTGTAAAGTAATGGCAAGCGAGTATCATTTTCCTTGAAGCCTGTTGGGGAAGCAGGAGGGCTTGCTAAGCCATTGCTGCCAGTTGGCATTTCCTCTTTCAGTCACCCACCAACCTCCCAAGAACAGACTACCTGGCTCATAAGCACTGAAATACTGGTACAGTGTCTAGCCCTGTGGATCCCAAGTGAGTTCCACTTTAAAAGAACTAAGCCTTTAAAAGAGAAGACGAGGCCAGGCGGCAGGCGGTGGTGGCCCACGCCTTTAATGCCAGCACTCTGGAGGCAGAGGTAGGTGGATCTCTGTGAGTTCGAGGCCAGGGCATCTGATGTCTTGGTCTGACCTCTGCAGGCACAGGCTGCGTAGTCATATGTAGAGGCAAAACGCTCAAACACATAAATCAAAATAAATCTAAAAAAATTTAATTTTTTTTTTTAAGGAGCCAGGCCCATTCCAGAGACGCTGATTTAACTTGTATAAAGAGAGAGGCAGGCAGTGCTATTTTTAGGGTTGCTGGTTAGTTGAACCATAATTAATAAATTAATCAGTGCCTTTTCCATCTATGTTTGACTGTTAATGTCTGTCCTTTAAATCGGTTACAAGGTGCACGACTGCTCTGGGCCTTTCCTTTTCCGCAACATGCAGGCCATGCTGAGATGTCATTGTCTCCACTTCAGTGCTTTTTTGGAAATAACAAATTCCCGCTCTTTAAAATTTATTTATTTATTTATTTATTTATTTATTTATTTATTTATTTATTTATTGCTCTTGCCATTGGGTAAACCTTTCCTCATTTCTAAGAGTGTTAGCCAGAGCAGCCCACAGCTCCTTCTGTATCAGTCTGGCTCAGATTGCTGGCAAACAGCCACGCTAAGCCAGCACTAAGGGAAGACCCTGGCAAGCCCCAGGTGCTACAGACGATTTCCTATTCACAACACAAGCAGTTTGAAGAAAGTAGGAGGAGGCAGCTGTGGCTCAGCTGGCAGAGCACAGTAAAGTGGGCAAGGCAGTGCAAGCCTGCCATCCGACAGTCGGGAAGCAGAGGCGGGAAGATAGGAGTTCAAGGCCAGCCTGGGCTACAGGAGCTGTAGCTCCAAATGCATAAACAGCAGAGGTCTGGGGTCCGTAAGGACTCTAGGAGAGACGGGGGCGGGGGAGTACATGGGGGGTGAAGACAGCCCCTCCCAGAGTCCTCCCACTCCTCTTCAGTCCTTTCTTCCCCAGGGAAGAGGCAAGGGGAAACAAAGTTTGCAGAGTGGCACCCTTGCTGCTGTCAAACTTCTGAGAATTCTGTGGGGGTGGGGGCCTAATAAAGTAGCTAGAGTCATTTCACAGCAAAGGACATCACTTTAGGCCACACAGGTGGATTTTCTGAACAGATAGGAAAAGGCTGAGCCCCTCCCCCAAACACTCCCCAAGACTCTTACCTGGGAAGATGCTCAATCCTCTGTTGACTTCTAAGCTAATGATCAGAGCTCGGGCGGTGATGCTAAAGGTTTGCCAAGGCGCAAAATTCAAACCGTCGGTAACCTGAAAATTAAAGCCTCCCGACACTGCTCCTTCAAAAGAAGAACATACACTCTGGTCAATTTGATTATTCTGAAAGAACCATCTTTCCCTCAACTTATCTCCTCACACCGTCACCTGCAAGTAGCCACGGCAATCTCGTAATGTGTTAATTAGCCTCTGAGCTCACCGCATCACATGCACCCACAACAGACAGCCACACACACACACACACACACACACACACGCACGCACACACATTCATGTGCAAGCCCTGAAAACATATACATACACACACGCACACACACAGACATGCATACACACACAGACATACACACGTGCACACACATTCATGAAACAATGAAAAAGAGGCCATGAATTTGGAAAAAGTTGGGAAGAGCATATGGGAGGTTTGGGAGGAGGGAAAGGGAAGGGGGTATTGTATAATAATAATAATATCAAAAGATCAGGGAAATTAACAAACATCCACCTCCAGTTAACCATATTCTGAGTGGAGAGAGAGGGAAGGGAGAGGCCTGGCTTCAGTTTCCTTCAGGGTCTGCATGGAGATCACACTCCCACACTCTGTCAGAGGCTAGTCATACAGCAAAGTAGAAAATTAACTCGTGGAATCATTGAAATGGAGACCCGGCCAGCATCGACCCAGGCAATCCCCCAGGGTGCTTTACCACTCTGACTCACAAAGCAGAAGCAAGACCTCTATTCAGGGAGACCGTGGCCACTGAAAATGTCCATGATGCACTGTCTGAAAAGCCCATGGCCCTTACAGAAGGCACTGGGTAGGCGTGTGTCTCTGTTGCCCAGGGGGAAATAAGGAAATAAGGCAAGGAGTGAAGGGTGTGTGGTCAGACTGCGATGATGTCAGACCGCGATGATGTACGAGGTACGGGTACTCCCTTAGTAACACAGATTGACTAGCACAGGTTGATACTGGACATCTTTTAAGTCTTAGCTAAGCAAAGCTCATCTGGAAGCCCCAAATCCTCACTAGAATGTTTACAGGTGGTGTTTTTTGTTTATTTGTTGTTGCTGCTGTTGTTTTTAAACCAAATTGTTCACAGGTCACCATTAAAGAGACAGGGACTGGGAAAAAAAAAAGGCACTGCGCGTACCTAACTCCCAACAGGGCTCACGATCAACTGTTCCGCATTTGCTTGCTTTCCTAGAATTAGCTTTTCAAAGTTGTATTTAATGAAACACAAAATTAAAGAGCGAATGCCTTCTACCACTAGGAATCCTGGAAGCGCCTTATGATCCGAGGGACAAAATAGGGACAGAACCAGGGGACTATATCAAAACCAATGCAGAGTGTTACACAGAGTAGGGCCTGACAGGAAGCAGGCCAAAGAACGACAGGAAGGAAGCAGACACAGGGCAATCTGAGGCTACTCTGGCAGAGCTCTGAGCATCCCCAAGGGTACTTTCAGGAGAGCAAATGACCGAGAGCCCCTGGCTGAGACATCTTCGCTGTATCAAACCACTTAAGTTGTTGTGTGGACTGGAGAATTAGATTAGAGCAGAGCACTCTGCAAATGTAAGATGCTAAGTGAAATTAATTAAACCATCCCTTTGTTTGGGGCTGGTGATGGACAGATGGACAGATGGACAGATGGTTTCTGCAACAGAGGCATCTGCAGCTGGGCTCCAGTCGCTCTGAGAATTAGCTTGTCTCAATGTCCATTTAGGAAATATAATGAATTAGCCCTCATGTAATCCTGGCCTCTACCTCCCTTTCCTCCTCCTCCTCCTCCTTCTTTTTAAATCTATCTTCTCTCTCTACTAAAAGCAAACATTGACCTGGTAGCTGACAAGTCAATCAACACAGAGAGCTTGCTGTTGCTTCCATCCTTCACTGACAATGGTAACCCCTGTCCTCTAACCCGCATGCCCTTCAGTGGAGAAACACCAGCTTCAGGGACAGGCCAAGCTGAGTGGTTCTGAGCTGTAGGTTTTTTCATCTCAAAAATGGGGTCATGACTCCGCATGGCTCGGAGGACTAGGAGTACTTACGAAACCAGTGTGACTTGTGAGACAGTGTGTTGAGTGTGACTGCACCTCCCCTACTGCCAGACAAGAGGAAGAGATGTAGGACAGTGCTGGAAAGAACCCAAGCCCCAGGCCCAGGCTCCAGGCCCTGACCAGACATGAGAGCATCCTCATGCTAAACCGTGTCCAGATTCTTTGGGCAGCCTGTGTGTTAAGTGCCCAGATCATCAGAGCAGCATTACCTGTGAATTCAGAAGGTGTCTTATCTTCCTCGTTTCTATTGTATTCTTAGATAAACAGTTTAAACTAACTGGGGAAAGGACTTTGAGATTTAAACGTTCATGTTCTGCACTCCTGGGTCATGAGTGCCTCCTTCCAGCTGCTGTCCACCCTGGTCCACTGACAAGGGCACACATATAACAAAGCCAGGCCAGCCTGGCAGAGTTCCAGGGCCACCTTTCCAGCAAATGTTGCCGTTATTGATTCAACGATGACTAACAGGAAGCAGAAAGGGCCTCCAACCAACATCAGGATCTCATAAACACAGTGACATTCATTCATTCATGAATACAATCCTGGTACAAAACTGCTTTGCCCACTAATGTACCCTCAGCATCTGGAATGTGATTACCTGATACATAGTTCGTGTTCAAAATTATTTCATTTGTCCAAAAAGTCTTATTTATGAAGCACCTACTATGTTCTAGTTACTGTTTGAAGGGCTAGGATACAAGGGACTCTGCCCTTTCTTAGAATGCTTGCAGTGTCAGGGGTAGGGAGATTAAAAAGCAGAGGTCCAACTCAACCTCACCAGTCTCACAGCCAGGGCAAGAGCAGAGAGTCACAGAGCGATTCTACCCCAGTGAGGGGAGGAATGGGCGCTCACGGCAGGTACCTGGCATTACACGTCCTCCTGAGCAAGCCTCGAGGGAGGCGCGGGCAGGCTCTGATGGTTGTATTAGCTTTCCTCAACATGTTCTTTAAACATGCACAGAGCTTGGGAAGTGTCTACATCCCGGGGTTTTCCATCAGCAATTCCTAGGCGTGACAGCCGCTGCTCAAAACACATGCACCTGACCCTGCTCTCTGTGGCTTACCAGAGTGCACGAACACGAGCTGGCCCTCATCAATTTGCGCCTGAGTGAAGTTCTGGATGCTTCTGCCAGGGATGGACTTGAGAGCCAGGTGCCCGTTGCTAGGAGGAGTGGCCCGGTAGACCAGGTCCCGTGGGGAAGAGTCCTCGTCTTCTGCACACAGGCCATCTCTGGTCATCTCAGTGACCGAATTTGCCCACACCTTGAACAGAAGAGAACCAATTCCAGTCCACCTACACAGCCACAGCCCTGGGCACTTTGTGAAAAGATGGAAAAATTAAACCTCTCCACCGGAGTTTTTAAAGAACAGAGTTGCTTTTGCCTGCATGTATATATATGTAAATATATATGTGTGTGTGTGTGTGTGTGTGTGTGTGTGTGTGTGTGTGCAACGTACATGCCTGGTGTCAACGATTTGGGTTAACAGGATTCACTAACTATTCACTCAACATTAATTACTCGACAGTGCATATGAACCAATGTAAATATCTCACTATAAAGCCAACGGTTCCAAAGAACCTTGCATGGTGAACATTTGCTAAATGCACCACATGGAATCTCAGATAATGTAACATCTACTTTGTTAGGCTGGGTTGAGAATACGGTAGCTAATGGTGTCACCAGCTTTTAAACAGTTGAGGAGGAAAAACACACTTTACACATTTGTTACCCTTTGTTCTTCCTGTCTTACGTGAAAACAAGGGCCTGGCTTCTTTCTTCTTGTGCTGTTTGCTGTACTGATGGTTCACATCTGTACCCATAGCTGAGAAACACAGCTGCTTTCCTCTTACTGTTAAAATCGATGTGCACTGCCTGAACATCATCTCACTGCCTCTCCTCAGCCACCTCTGCTGCACCCTGTGTGTGTGCACGTGCCATGCAAGCTTGAGGACCCAGCCTCGATCCCCAGAGTCCACATTAAAAACACCCTGCCCTGGTGATACATTTGTAATCCCAGCGCTAGGGGAGTGAAGATGGTCAGATCCCTGGAACTCTCCGGATAGGTAGCCCAGGCTAATCCGTGAGCCCCAGGTCCCAGTGAGAGACTTTGCCAAAAATAAACAAAGTGCATGGCCCTGAGATTTTCCTCTGGCCTCCACAGGCATGCACACATACACACGTGTGTAGCTGCGTACACATGAATATACATATGCAGCAGCATGCTTAAACATCTTAACGCAACAGCTCACCAAATTTACTGTTCATCTACCATGCACCAGCAAACATTTCGAACACCTGTACTGTATCAGCGAATGAAACAAAGGAGCCATGTCCTTGCGGAGCCTGCACTTCAGCAGAGGTCACAGAAGGACATAGAAGAGAGGCTACAGACGCAGTAGGAAATGAACAGTATGGTGAGTTACAAAGTCAGCACACCATGAAAAAGAAAACACGGTAAGGGGGTTCCGGGATGTGGGACGTTCAAGCGGGGATGTTGGGGGAAGGCAGGATGGATGGAAGAGAAGAAGCCATACACATATGTGCATGTCCAGGAATGGGAAAAGAAGATGGCGCTTGGGACGCTGGAGCTGGCTCAGGGTAGTGGGAGCGGCGAAGCAGGTCATTGCAGCAGGAAGAAAATAAACACGATAGAAAAGAAGTCCCAAAACATAAGAGATGGTCAAATTATGCACTGTCAAAAACGACAGCTTGTCCTTGAGTCTTGGCCTGACAAACAAAACATCCAACCTGTCGTGATGCTCTGTAGAGTCAGGGAGACCAGAACCCCAGAAAGAACGATGCAGGATGGGAAACGGTCCGGTCTGGGAGTCTGCTGAAGGTGTCAGACTGGGAAGGAAGGTGGGCAACTGATGGCACGTTTGGGGCCTTGCCTGTGAGAGGGAGACATCCCCCACCACGGAGAGGCGGACAGCCTCATGAGGAGTGGACAGGGGCATCAGGAGTTCTCTGCTGAGTCTAAAACGATTTGGACACGGAGCCTCATCAGATGGAATCTGAATGTAAGTTTCTAGACTCGGGGAGTCACATGAGGGGGTGATCTGGATAGGAATGGCCCCCACAACCTCATGCTTAGTTACAGGGAGTGGAACCCTTTGGTATGACTAGGATTAGGAGGTATGGACTTGGTTGGGGAACTTTAAGGTTTCAAAAGCCATGTCGGGCCCAATCTCTCTCTGCGTGTCTCTCTGTCTCTGTCTGTCTGTCCTTCTGTCTCCCTGAACAACTCCCATGCCTGAGGATCAGGATGTGACCACTGCACAATAAATAAAAGACCCAGAGACTGACAATGAGGTTCAAATTTCAAGCTGAAGGTCAGAAAGGCAAAGTAGCCGGCCGGGCCACTAGCTCTTACCATTACCCCAGGCTGAATGGGCTGACCCTGCTGCCTCTCCTCAGCATGGCTGGAGAATCCCGAGACTGACTGTCCTCCCATCCCCAATGTGGCTGGAGAATGGATGGATCTATCCTCAATGTGAGTGCCTGATACCAAGACCTTGCTCCTGTTGGAGTTAAAGGCGTATGGTCCCAGGTGCCGAGAGCATCTTTGTGTGAGCTATTTCTCTCTAGGACTGGATCAATCTTGTGTAGATGTGCGTAGCCTTGGAATCACAGAGATCCATCTACCTCTTAATCGTGAGTCCTAAGATTAAAGGTGTGTGCCACCACCTAGCTACTGGCTGCTGGAATTAAAGGTATGTGCCTGGCTTCTATGGCCCATGACTGACTTTGCTTTCTGAATCCTTGGGCAAGCTTTAATAAATCATAAATAATACCGCACCCTCAACTACTTCTCCAGTAGGATGCCTGCCTGCTGCCGTGGCCCCTCCCGTGAAGATAACGGAAGAAGCCTCTGACACTGTAAGCCAGCCCCCGACTGAATGCTTTCTCTTCACAGCAATGGGACAGCGAATTCAGCAGTAAGCCCATTTCCACACGCCTGTATTCATTTCTTACAGAGCCCGGAAACGCTGTGTGTGCACTCATGGGCATTCTTGACTCTCACACCAGCTCTGCGGTGGCCGCCATGCTTTTTAGCAGAGTATCTAAAACTTCACTCCTAAGCCATAAGTCAATATGCTGCCTGCTCAAAAGGAGATATTTTCCTCAGCAAAAGAGGTACTCTCTCGGTCACAGGTCATCCAATGGTCACCAAAACACACTTGGGACAGGAGTTCAGAAGGCATGTAGGGTTTTTATGTTTTCATAATTTAAATATATACGCTGGCATGTTTAACAAAATGCCATGCCCGATCATTCCAGGTTCGGGTTTCACATTTCTAAATCATTCCATGTGGCTTCTTTCTGTGTCTTCAGGAATGAAGACTGATTTGGGAATGTGCTACCATTTCTCTTGCTATGACATGTAGACACTCACTCTTCTTTCGATCAGGAGCACAGAAGAACCACAGAAGCTCGTTTTCCACGGCAACTCCTCTGCGGTAAACAGCGCTCCCCGAACACCATCACCCCAGACAAACGGGAACCCTGTCACTTGCAAACATAAGCACCCTCGGGCCTCCATGTCTATTCACATCCGATTCCGTTCAGTTAGCAGCCCCATGGCTTCTGGGGCAGCGAGGCTCAGTGCCCAGCGTTGGGTCAACCTAACTTCAAATGGCTGGGAGAGGACAGCAATGGCCTCAGGCCTGAATTCAGATTTGAAAGGGATCCACGGTTCAAACAATAAGTATCTGAAGACAACAACCCGACTCCTGGGGCGGCCCCACCCAAATTCACCTTTGCTTGTGAGAGGAACTGACCGAACTATGGGCAGAGATGCCATCCCTGCAACAGTGAAAGACCCCGCCCACACACGCACGCACGCACGCACACATGCACACACGCACGCACACACGCACGCATGCATGCACACACGCACGCACGCACACACACGCACACACACGCACACACAAACATACGCATGCACACACACACGCACGCGCACACACACATACGCACACACACACGCACGCTCCCACACACGTGCGCACACGCTCCCACACGCACGCACACACACGCATGCACACGCACGCACACAGGCGTGCGCACACACGCACGCGCACATGTGCACAGGCGTGTGCACACTCACCCACACGCACGCGCATACACGCACTCACGCGCCCACACACACGCATGCGCACACGCACATTCACACACGCACACAGGCGTGCGCACACTCACCCACATGCACTCACGCGCCCACACACACGCATGCGCACATGCACATTTACACACACGCACACAGGCGTGCGCACACTCACCCACACGCACGCGCACACACACGCACACACATGCACACGCACACCCTTGTTCCAGGTCTCTGGGATCTGTGTGAACGTTCTGAACTTGCTGCCCTTCTGTGTGGTTCTTAGGACTGCCGCTGACCTTGTGACCTTTACTCTTCCACTTACCTGGCTGTAAAGCTCCTTCTCGTGATGAGTACTTGCCAAAAACAAACAGAGCCTGGGTGTAGCTCAGAGGGAGAAATCGTGGCTACCACACACGGGCCCAAGTTCAGTCCCTAGCACCGTTCAAAGTCAAGCCAAGCCAAACAGAAAAGTAACTAAATGGTTCTATTTTAGGGGAAAAAAACAAGGCAAAGCATTGTTGTATGGAAAGTTGGAAAATGGGGACATGAAGCCCCCTTGTGGCCAGCATTTTGTGTGGCCGGTTTAAAAGAAATCACTCGTTATATTTAAAAACACTCTTAATGGATTTCAGAATACAAAGGAGTTGGTTACTCAGGATGGCCTAACTGTGAGTCCGGTTTGTCAAAACACAAAGACCCCACCCATGCAACAAATGGCCTTCGTGATACCCCTGAAAGGCCCGTGGTTTAAGGCTGTGTCTCCTTACTCAAGGAGAAATGCATCCCGTGAAATGCTGACCTAGAGGAGGCAATGCCTGGACTTGGGCTATTAACTCCCACCCTGAGTCCAGGATGCCATGGGCTCTGTTTCCTGCCACGCCCACAGTCTTCTCCAAAGAAGACTCGGCGTGGACATTCTTGCTATCTACAGGCCCTGATGAGAGCTAGGAGATAAGACCGCAGAAGACCACCTGAAGGCTTTAATAAAATGCAGGTTGGAGTTCAGAGATGACATAAAATCTGGGCCAGGGAGATGGCTCTTAAGGTAGAGGCACCTGCTGCCAACCCTGAGGACCTAAAGTGTGGTCCCTGGGGCCCACTTCCTCCCTCTCTCCTTCTCTCTCTCCCTCTCTCTCCGTCCCTCCCTCTCTCTCCCTCTCTCCCTCTCTCCCTCCCCCTCTCCCTCCCTTCCTCTCTCTCCCTCCCTCTCTCTTTCCCTCTCTCTCTCCCTCTCTCCCTCCCTCCCTCTCTCTTTCCCTCTCTCCCTCTCTCCCTCCCTCTCCTTATCCGAATCTTCAACTGTACTACAGATCCCTCATCTTTACTAAAAATGATACCCTGCAGAGCTGTTGAAGACTTAAGTGCTGAGTCCAGTACCAGACACCGATTCTTGAGACTTATTAGCCACACTGTGGCTGGGAAGTGGCCAATACCAGGCAGTTGCTCTGAGATACAGAGAAGAAATGTCACTGTCAGAAATGATGCCCTAAACTTGGGAAGAACTACTCACATATCTGCTCCTGGAAAATGCACTCTTGTAGCTGGAGTTTTAATTTGTGCATCGGCTTTCCATACCCACTTCCCCAAGTGCTGACAGACCCGATAGTTCTTCAATATTATCGGCAAATGATTCGGGGAACTCCCTGCAATATGAACAAACACAGCCTCTCCATGCTAATCTGCCATTGCTACTAGACAGTCTAGTAGGAAAGACAGAAATATTTTGAAAACAAAAATAATTTGGGGCAGGAAATAGTAGCAAATCTTAGATTCTATGAACTGCCAAACAGGCTTTCTAAGTTAATAAGGCCAATCCTGAACGTTCATGGCTCCTTTTCTAGTTGAAATTAGATTGAGATTAATAGTAGATATTATTATTGTGCTGTAAAAGTTCAACACACAAAACTACACTTTTTAAAAACATTTTAGTCAACTTTTTATTCACTATGTGTGAGTGTGCATGTGTGAGTGTGTGTGTGAGAGAGTGTGTGTGCATGTGTGTGGGTGTGAGTGTGTGTGAGTGTGTGCGTGCATGTGGGGGGTGTTTGTGTGTGTTTATGTGTGTGTATGTGTGTGTGAGTATGAGTGTGTGTGCATGTGTGCGTGTTGTGCATGTGTGTGAGTGTGTGCGTGTATGTGTGTGTGCACGTGTGTGTGCGCATGTGTGTGTGTGTTAGACACGGGTATTTTGGTACTGCATACTGATGCACCCCTCCTTTTCCCCTGGGGGTCTGGGATTTGGGATCTTACCAGGCAGAAGGTGCATGCCTACCTGACCTGTCCCAGAAAATATCTTGGCCACTTTGCATCCCTGGGCCAGTTGACTGTGTCCCTCCCGTGTGACTCCACTGGAAAAACACTGGGAGAGCTGGCCTAGTTTCCCGACTCCACCCGCGAGCTGCTTCCCTTTGCTGACTTTGCTTCATTTGCTTCCCTGAACTAAATCTTAGCCACAGCACTCCAAGTCCTGCATGCCTCTGCCAATGGCCTAGGGCCGGCCTCCTGGCAGAGCTCTTCCCTCTACCATGTCAGTGTCTCTGAGCAGCATCGTCCTGCGGGGTGGAGAGAGCATCCAAACAAAGACCCTTGCTTTCACTGTGTTTCAATGTTCCCAGCAGCGCCTCGACTGTGAAAACAGCACCAGTCACAGAAGGTACCGCGACACAGTGCACATTCGATAAATGTAAACTTTAACAGCAGCGTTTGAACCACCATTGACAGCTACAGTGTCTCTCAGTAGCTAATGTGCAAGCAACCCCTGTGGGAGCTGGTACAGAGCAGGCTGTGTGGGGGAGAGAGGCAAATGTAACTGAAAACCAGAGGGTTAGACGCTTGGCCAGCCAGGACATAGCAGTCAAGGAGCACGGGGCAAAGAATGCGAAGAAAATTCACACTAACAGGACAGGTCCCAAAGGCACAGGTACCTTCCTCATGAGATGCAGAGGCTGAAGAACTCAAGCTCTAAGATAACTGAAGCACTAAAGGTCATATTCCTAGGTCCCATTGCCTCGCACAAATAATAACAAATACTGAAACGCCAGCCGTTTTTTTAAAATAATGTGAGACCTGCTACCTAGACTCCCTCTGTTGGGCCCCTAGGCTGCCTACACAGAGGATGCTTCATAAATAAGTCAAGTTTTACTGCTTCCTACTTGGCGTTTATTCCTTTCTTCCTGTTCCCCCTTGTCACCTATCTGGCCACCACCGTCAACAAAGGTCCTCTGCTGCTGGCCAACGGCCAGTCATAAATGGTGATGTGCGGTGCTGTCCCGTGGCATGACACTTGCTACTTAGAAAATATGAAAAATAAGACTTGGCTGGCACGAGCAAAACCCTGAAACCCCAACGCCATTTGGACACCAAACAATACCACCCTTTAAGTTAAAAATAATTGATGTAAAATCTCTCCTCAAAAGAAGCCCACCGAAGAAAGCATGCGGGGATTGTTAGAGTGAAGTCAATTAACTGACAGCCAACCCCAATGAGGAGCCTCATTTCCCCACGTTTATGTTTCCTAACTGAAAAAGGGAGAGAGTTTTACACTATTTTTTAAATGACAGAATGTATCAAAAATGTACATAGTAATACACACCCAAGCATGTATGCATACATAAGTAGTATGTATACTGATGAATACATAATCCATAAATACACCTTTTTGTTTTTACTTGACATTTACAAATTGATTGTGTATTTCCTTCCTCCACTGAGTCCAGTTTGTGTTGTTCAGCAAATCTAGGGGCTGAGGCCTGCCCTAGGGTGTGGTCAGCCTATCAGGGAGCACGCCAGTAAAAGAAACTGACTCTCTTCTCCCTAAGCTATCAAATGTCAACAGCGCTAAGGCTGATCACGGGATTACAAGTCTACGTTGGGATTTTGTTTGGCCAGATCTTTCAAAAGTCTTGTGCGAGCTGTCACAACTGCTGAGAGCTCTATGTGCACCTGTCCTGTCGCGTCCGGAAAGCACCGTTTCCTTCAGTTATCAGTCTTTCCATCCCCTCTTCCCAAAGACCCGGGAGTCTTGAGGGGAGGGCGCGTGGTGGTTTGAGTGAAAGTGGCCCCTACAGGCTCACGGAGGAGTGAGTGGCCCCTACAGGCTCACGGAGGAGTGAGTGGCCCCTACAGGCTCATGGAGGAGTGAGTGGCCTTGTTGCAGGAAGGGCTGGCTGTGAGGTTTCAGAAGCTCAAGCCAGGCCAGTGTCTTATTCTCGCTTCCTGCTGCCTGTGGATCCAGATGTGGAGCTCTCAGCTCCTCTGCAGCACCGTGTCTGCCTGCACGCTGCCAAGCTCCCCGCCATGAAGCTCTGGTCCTCACAGCTTTAGGTTTCTGTGGTGGTTTGAATGAACATGGCCCCCATCGGGAGTGGCACTATTAGGAGGTGTGGCCTCGTGGGAGTGGGTGTGGCCTTGTGGCAGTAGGCGTGGCCTTTTGCTGGAGTAGACATGGCCTTGCGGGAGAGGGTGTGGCCTTGCTGGAGTAGGCGTGGCCTTGCGGGAGAGGGTGTGGCCTTGCTGGAGTAGGCGTGGCCTTGCGGGAGTGGGTGTGGCCTTGCGGGAGTGGGTGTGGCCTTGCTGGGGTAGGCGTGGCCTTGTTGGAGTGGGTGTGGCCTCGTTTGAGTAGGTGTGGCCTTTCTGGAGTGGGTGTGACCTTGCTGGGGTAGGTGTGGCCTCGTTGGAGTAGGCGTGGCCTTTGCGGGAGTAGGCGTGGCCTTGCGGGAGTGGGCGTGGCCTCGTTGGAAGCAGTGTGACACCCTGGGCTTGGGCTTTGATGGTTCAGAAGCTCAGCCTAGGCCCAGTGCTCCACTCTTCCCTTCTGCTGCCTGAGGGTCCGGGTGAGAGCTCCCCGCCCCCTCCAGCATGACTCCTGCCTGTGCTCCGCCATGCTTCTTGCCATGGTGGTAATGGACTAAACCTCTGCACTGTAAGCCAGCCCCAATTAAAGGTTTTCCTTTACTAGAGTTGCCACGGTCATGGTGTCTCTTCACGACAATAGAAACCTTAACTAGGACAGGATGTGACATGAAAGCCTGATCTGGGCATGAGTGCTCCAGTTGTCTGCACATGGATTATGGCGGTCTCTCTTAAGACCATTCTTACATGTGCATTGTACAAGTAAGCAGACATAAGGCCTAATCAGAGCCATAGACCACAGTCTGCAACACCCTGATATTAAGAGTGTGTTCACCAGGTCAGTATTAACTTTCCCACCTCACACAGCCAACAGTGGAGTCATGACTCTTACCCAGATACACCTACTCCAAAACTTACTCTTAATCAGCATGCTACCAGCATAGGGGGAACAGTACATGTGTAGACACTTCCCTAGCCCACCACAAAAGACAGCAAGGACTCTGGGGACGGCCCCGGCTCAGGAAATGCAGAAATCGAGGCGAGCAAGATGGCTCAGCAGGTAAAGGCACTGTCACCAAACCTGACAACTTGAGCTAAAACCCATATTTGTAGAAACCAGCTGTCACAAGTTATCCTCTGACCTCCACAAACCTGCCATACGCTCTCTCTCTCTCTCTCTCTCTCTCTCTCTCTCACACACACACACACACACACACACACACAGAGAGAGAGACACACACACACACACGTGTGTGCATGCATAGAGCAAATAAATAAATGTAAAAAAATTAAAAGGAAACAGAAATTATCATCTTCCAACAGTATCCAAAAAGATATTGATAAGTAAAAGCTTTGAAACATGTTAACATACAAGCATGGCCATATATATGTCTTGTTATTTTATAATAGCAATGATATAAATCTGAGCCAATTTGCCTGTCTTGGGGTTCTTGTGTAGATTAAAAGCACACAGCACTTACCTGGAGGATTCTATTGGCTGTTATTACCGGAGCCTTGTCATTTACAGACTCAACAGTCACAAAAAGAGTCTGAGGCAGACTCTGCTTCCCAAGCTCTGAGCTGTTTGCCAAGATGGAGAGACTGTCCATTAACTCCTCCCTGCCGTTATGAACGTAGTGAATCAACCCCTGCTCCACCTGAAACCAAAGCAACAAAAGTACTCAGTTCCAAACCATGATGACTGCTAAAAGCAAGTCTGAGAGTAAGAATCTCCCTAAAGCACAGAAGCATGCCTTCATCCCATGGAGTCTGAGTGAGTACCAGAGTGGGGACTCTGATGGATGACGTCACACTTCCTCCTGAAAGTAAGTGAAATACCTCTGCACCCTACGATGGGCGTAAAGGGCGGCAGAGCAATGCAATGCGGTGTGTGAACAAGAATGCTGGATTGGTAGCAGAAGACTTGAGTCTAAATGCCGCTTCTAACAGTAACAGGTGCTGGGTGTGCATAAGCCAGCCTTCCTACCAATGGGCACCGCAGTAACGTTCAAGTTCTACTTGCTTATTTAAAGTAACTACGGTTGAAGGCTTTGACTGTTTTATTTGACAATTCACACTGTTAGATTTAGGCTCTGCTGGGTTTCATTTCTCTTCCTTGGAAACATATGGATCAGGAAAACTATTAAGTTCCCTTAAACACATGTTCTGAGCTAAGGGGGCACTATTTCCTTGATTGTTCTCTGTGTCTGGGGTTATGTGTGATGGGGAGTCTTACCCATCAGCTTGAGACAATCTAGATTCACTTGGAAAGAGGGTCTCCATTAGGGACTGTCTCCATTGGGTTGGTCTGTCTCTGGGGGGCTTGTCTCACATTCACTGATACAGGAAGGCCCGGCCAACTGGCTACGATAGGCTATCACCTGGAGTTGTAAGCAGAAACAAACCCTTCTCTCTAAATCACTTTTTGTGGGGTATTTTATCACAGAAACAGAAATGTAACTAGGACAATGTCCTACCTCCTCACCGAGCCCTCACTTTCATAATCATATACATCTCCTGTAGACAGACTATTGCAGAGTACATTACAATCAAGTCACTCTGCCACAGAAGATTTCTTTCACAGTAATAAAGCAAATGTAACATTTACTTTTGTCCCTGTTAGATTCCATCTTTTTAATTTCAGTTCTGAAATTGTCACTGGATAGTGTAGTTATTCCTCTTTGATTTATAGCAACCAAAAATCTGATTAGATTCCTTTCCCTTCTTTTAGACTGGACTACTAGAAACATCGAAGACTACAATTCAGCGATCAAGGGCATGTTCAAGCTAGATGTGAATTTAGCTTCAATGAGCCTGCAACCAAAACACAATGGCAAGAACTTCCGACGCCCCAAAGAATTCTGAACAAGTCTCTGGAGCTGTGTTTGTTTTGATAAAATTTAGCCAAAAAAATTGAGTAGTTCAGCTTTGCCCATCCCTGTGTTGCACTTCCTTTGAGAAGTCTTTGATCTTACAGGGGTGTTTCTGACAGGGGTGAAAAGTTCAGTCCCCTCAAGGGAAAATCATGGCTGCTCATACACAGGTGCTATGTGGGTAGAAGATCCCAGATAACAGGCACAGCCCCAGATTCTTAGAATATGCTGTGTTAAGCTACTCGGGAACGAACAATGAGGGGATTGATCCCAGTACTGGGGAACTCAGAGGAGAAAGCGCTTTAGGGATGCTGACAATGCTCAAGGACACTTTTCCTGAAGAAAGACATCACCCCCCATTACACACCCGCTAACGAGTAATTTGTCCCAAAATTGCACACTATTTTTAAAACCATTTGACTAAAAGCTGACAAAGGTTGTCTATTCCTACCTTTTGAAAGCCAGAAAAATATCTGCTGATCAGATGAAGGCCCCCGCCTTTCCTAGCTCCTTTTTCTGGTTTATTTATTTCTCCTATAGTACTAATAGTCTATAATTTAACACATTTCTTGTCTCTCTGCCTCCCTTGTACCCCCACCTGGGGAGAAAACTGCACAAGGACAGGGTTACTGCCTAATTAAATCACCACTTTGTCCCCATCACCTAACACAAGACACAAACTTCTTATTGAACAAGTGAAGCCAGGGTCTCTCCACTAAGACACTCAAGGCTATAGACATACAGGATTAGTGTTATTTTAAGTGAAAATGACAATAACTCAAAATCTAGAGCCCACAGGGGTTACATATAAAGAGACAGTGTAAGGAATCTCCTGACAAACAGGGACACGTGACCTTGTCATATGTTGACGAACAGGCTGATGATAGCACATGTCCCAGGGAACAAGCATGTCTCCACACACAGATTTCAACCAGCAATCCTCTTATGAACATGGTCAGTCACTGACTTGCCCGAGGCAGGGCCCAGAGCACATGAGGTAAGTGTGTTTGATTCAACTTACCCCACAGCAGACGGTTGCTACTGGCGGGTTTTCTGGCCTTTGAGATGGAAGCCCTGATTGACAGGCCCTTACATGCTGTGAATGAAGAGTCCTCTTCCCTGGGTCAGAGGGAGAAGCTGCTCTCCTGCCCTCTGCATCCTGTTTCTTTCTGTTTCCCAGTGATGCCTGGGTAAGTCTGGCCTCCTTGACAGTTGATGAAGACTACACCCCCGATGGGCAGAGATGGGAACCTTCCACATGTAGCCCCAAGCAGCTTCCGCCCCGCCTTGGCCCGTGCAGGCCCTCAGCTGCCCCTCAGGCCTCCACACTCTTGGCTACTCTGACTTGCATTTGCCTCTTTCAGGCTCCTAAATGGTTACTGCCTGCTCTTTATCAACGCCCCCAAGTCTAAATTGAACATTGTCCCTTTGCAAAGGGCCTCTCTGCTCTCCAGTTAGAATTGCTTATGCCGTGTCTACATTCCCACAACACTACTGTGAAAACACAACATGCCAGAGAAGGAGAGCATTCAAATATAAGACGAAGCCCCTGGCCCCTCCGCAGGCAAGGAGAATGTTTCAGCTACCACGGTAACACACGGTAGCTAAAACAGAGCATGCCTTTAGGAAGTGGATTTAAATCCATTAAGAATCCCATAACTTGCATTTTCAAATTTTTATTTCCTTTTATGTTTGGGTGCTTGGATGTTTTGCCTGTATTCATATCTGAGCACCACTTGCATGCCTGACAGCCGTACCAGATCCCTTACAACTAGGTTTACAGGTGGTTGTGAGCCTCCATGTGGATGCTGGGAACCGAACCTGGGTCCTCTACAAAAGCAGTCTTTGAACTGCTGAGCCAACTCTTCAGGCCCCAACTTAAAGGCAAAATGAAGTAGCATACATGTGTTTTTAGCTGGAGAGGAAAAGCCAGGCAAATGCCATGGGAAGTTGTATGTGTCCAATCTAGAGAGTCTGAATTGCTAGGGCTTTATGAGAGAGATTTGCAGACTCATTTTCAAAATTAAAAAAAAAAATTGGTAGAAATCATTAATTTATTCCTGTAAGAAATCAAAGTCTAACAATAATGCCAAAGCAAAGAAACCAGGGTGATGTGTGCAGGTGAGACAGCTGGACTCTCTCACGGAGGTGGACATTAGTAAGGGTGACACAGTCAATTCATGGCTACAGTCAAAAGTCAGGAGAGCCAGGATCTAAGGGAAGCTTCCAAATTCACATTAGTGAAAAGAGATGTTGAAATATTTTTAAACTACAAAGCTCCATCTCAGGAAGTAGTAAACACGCATCACTGAAAATGTTTAGGCAATGTTAACACCATCCCTACAGGGTTGCTACAGACAGACAGGCTTCTAACACCTTGTGGGGAACAGGACTCCAAGGCCCCACCACCCTAAAGCCTGTGAGTCTAAATGATAACGAGTCAATTCCAACCCACGCCCCTCTAGAACGACAAACTCAAATATATTAACTGAGATTTATTACCTGTTTCCTGGAAAATTTTCTTAACTTCACTCCTGGAAAACTGGAACTTTCAACAGAACCGTGCTTTGGTGGCTCAAGGAGAACAAATTCACAGTCAAGACTCTCAAAATACTTGCTTGGAATTCTGAGGTGGTCCGGCATAAGTGCTTTGGAGCCCCCTTCCTGAACTGTGAAATTCTGAACCTCCAGCGGTATCCACTTAGGGATGATATCCAAATGTATTTCTACTCTCCTTACAAAGTGGGAGTCCTTGACCACATCTAAGGTGAACTGATCCTTTTGCTGGCCGGGAGCCGTCGGTACATAAACGACATTGCCATCATCAATATCCTGCTGTGTGAAGCTCAGAGGGGACTTCCCGTCTGTACCCACGCCGCCGTCTTCCGCCGTGGACTTTTGGAGATATCCGTGCATCGGTGCAGTCCTGACTGTGAACGCTGTCTCTGACGAGAGATCGTCTTCATTCCCAGCCTTGTGTCCACAAGCACAACACAAGAAGAGAAGCACATGGCCGTAAGAGTCAAAGTCACTGATGAACCACATGATTCCTCTTAATTGGACAAGTGGCCTAAGTTGTCATTAGGGTGGTTACACAGCTTAAGGCTGGGTCTGACCTGGGGCCCATGCCAACATCTGGAATATCAGTCCTGATCACAGTAAATGAATAAATAAATGGTCAACAGCACTTGGGTAGCTATGAAGTATTTGCACAGAGCAGTAAGATCCACGAATATTCTAAAAATGAAGGTAAAAGAATCAAATGTCATAAGGAGAGGCTTGGAGGCGTGCCTAGCATCTAGCATGTGCAAGGCCATGGATTTGATCCCCGGCACTATGGTGGAGGATTATAGAGGGAACGAATCAAAGGCGGGTTAAGGAAGAGTAGCTGGTCACTAAACTGCACAACTGTAGAGGAAAGCAATTTTCCCATTTAGCTCTACTGTCACAAGCTCAGCATTTCCTATGCATTTTCATTTTATCGATTCAGCAAAGTCTATTTAGAAACAGTATTTGCAACTGATTATAGTCACAAGACGGAACATGCCCCCTTGTGGTGAAACATGTTAATTGACTCTCCAAGCTTGAAAACAAGCGTTTGCCAAGCTGATTCTATGTCACAGGCATCTCTGATATTGCTGGTTACTCTTGGGCAGCTTGCCTGCAGTCCTAACGGCAGAGTCCCAACAGCGTGTGTGTCTGGCAAACTGTTAAAAAGTACAGTTTGCCCTTCCTACAACCTATGGGAGAGTCCATAGGACTGTCTGTGCTTGCTAAAAGTTTCAAGGTAGGCGTCTGAGGGAAGTCTGAGCTTCTGCTCTCATCCGGGTACCGCTCCACTGGCCTAGACCAGTTTTATTCCTCAATTTCAGGAAACTAAACAAGGCGGCCACATCCAGAAATAAAGAAAGAGACTGTGCAATGGTGTCCTAAGCTGTTTGGGAAATCCTTTCTGTCTGTTAAACTACAACTTCCCTTCATCACAGATTAACCCCTATCAAAGGAGATGTTACTAGTGCTGCTGTTAGCAACAAATAAAAACACAAGGCTCTGAATTTATCACAATAGATATGTCCCTCCCTTAGTCCTACTTCATACTACACTAAGCATGGGCACACACATGACTGTGTATGTAAATACAGCCTTAATGTAAGGCTAAACATTGTGCAGATTTTATTTCCAAGTGTGGAAAGACCGGCAGAATCAAACTGCAAACATTCTAACTTTTCATCTCAGTGGCACACAAATACGTATAAAAATGTGTGCACACACATACTTTAGAGCCACTCCCAGTACCCGCCCCCCCCCACACACAGAGACAGAGACAGAGAGGGCATTCTCAACGCAAACAAATGGTTACCCCTTTACTAGTCTAAGCCAATTAGAATGCCCAGTGCTTTGGATGCCTACCTGGAGGTTTCCACTTCTCAGTTTTACTGGTTTCCCTTCTTCAACTGCAATGCTCCTGCTCTGCAGAATCGGAGTGCGCTGTTGATGACTCTCCAAGGACACTTGGACACAAACGCTCACATCTAAGTAGGTATCTTTAACTTTCACTGTCAGGTTAAACATATCAAAGTTCCCATCGCCATTGTGCCTATAAACCACAAATCCCCGCTTCAGGTCATGCTGGGAAAATGAGTGAAACGCAGAATTGTTGACCAGGATTCTGCCATGTGTGGGGGGTTGCAAGATGTGGAATTCAAACTCATGGTCTGTTCTGACATCTTGGTTTGTGGTGACGCTCAGGTTGGCTGTTGTGAAGCAGCTGTCCCTCCCTCTGGGCACAAGCAGCCCTGTGTTGTTGACTATGTGGACATAGGCCTCTGACACACTGACCTCGAAAAGGGATGATGTGTGATGCACACCATCTGTCACAAACAGCAGGAATCGGGCAGAGTCTGGACCATGATGTCTGAAGAGCACATGCCCTTCCTGTAAGTCCTCTTGCCTGAACTGGTAGAGCTTCTGAGACGGGTCACCGGCTTTCACCAAATCTCCGTTTGGTATGCCACGCCGAGTGTAGAGCAACTGCCCATCGTCAAAATCTAAGTCGGGGTCGTGGTAACAGAGGTCTGTGAGAGTCAGCAAGCGCTGGCTGCCCCGCACAACATGAAAGACCCTATCTACCACTTGCACGGGCTTCTCATCATTCTTCAACTCGACAGAGATGCTGACCTTGATTTCTGTAGACATGTGCCCAGAGTCAAGACTTCTGGCCCCTCCTTGTTGACCCTGATCTGTGGCAGAGGCCAAAACAACGAATTCGTCACACTGGGTCTCGGAGTCATCGTGGGCATACATCAGCCTTCCACTCACTATGTCTTCATCTGTGAATGCACTGATGCTACCGTCGCCTCCCAGAGAGGCAGAAGAGCTGACTAACTTCAGTTCCCCGTGCTGAGGACTCTTGGTGACTTCATATTGGAAGACATGATTGTCCAATGTTTGAACAAATAATTCTGATTTCGTAATTAACGTCCACCCTCCTTCTTTTACAAACAACCCAGTGTTGGTTAAAATAATATGTGTCTTATCTGCTTTAAGGATTACCCTGAAAGTGTAATCTTTTGATTCTATGTGTTTTACAATAATTGAAAAACTAAAAGTATCCTGCGAGTCTTCCCGGGGTGCCCCCCGAGGCTCATAGCTTACCATAGAGTCTGTAATGTTTTTTTGACTGAAAATTGAACTTGTTTGGAGAACTTCATTGCCGAGCACCAAGTTTCCTTTCTTAGGTGGGCTCAGTAACTTGAAACACAGTTCCCACTCGGCTACTTCCACATTCTCTGTTGCAGCCTGCAGATGGCCAGAATCCAGCACTTTCTTGTTCACATTGCTGATCTCTATAGGGATATTTTTCAGAAGTGTCAATTTCAGCGGCCGAATGGTGACAGGGAACAGGAGCTCTTTGCTTTCTCTTCCTTCTACCATAACTTTAAATTTAAAGTGATCCGTAACATTTTCTTGCTGTGGTTCTTTGAAGGAACTATAGTATCGGATCCGGCCCCGGTCGATGGAACGTTGAGAAAAGGTACTAGCTTGTTTCCACTCCCCAGTGGATGCCCGATGCTGGATTTGGCCAAGCTGAGGTGGCCGAGTGATGTCATAGCGAGTGTCCATCTCATGTTGTTCACCGTTCACCTTCACTGACAAGTCAGTCCGCGTGATCAGAACTGTACCACCCTGTTGTACCGCCACGCCAGTGCTACCTGCCACCTCAAAGTCCCAAGGAACAGCCATGACCCGTAACACCACAGGGTTGCTAACCAGCTCACCGTCAGTTGCTCTCAGAACAATCCGAGCGTTTCGATTACCCCTGTGCACATAGAAAATGTTGCCATGCTGTAAATCCACCTGTGTAAAAGCATTGATGGCTTGCCCAGGGTCTCTGGCATTCTCTAAAAACCCAGCGTCTGCGTTGAAATTGCTAAGAACCAAAAGTCCGAGATGCTGAGAATCGGTGTCGGGGTCTGACACCTGTACCACACTGGGGGTCAGCTGTTTCTTACAGTTCTCGAAGAGAAGCAAGTGTCCTTCTGGGAGCTTCAGGTATGGGGGGTCATTCACTGGAATGACAATAATGTTAAAAACATGCAGAGTGGGATCCTGCAACTGGGGTGGTATTGCCCTCCTGCTGCTAGAAAAAACCGCAAATGTGAAAGAATCCGTAGGCTCTTCCGAGCCATCGTGGATATACCACACTTTCCCAAGCCTCAGATCTAACACAGTAAAGGTGCTCTCCATTTCTTGTGCAGGCTGAACTTCTATTTGAAGGGAACCATGAGTAGGCATTTGCTGTATTTTAAACAGTATCTGGGAGTAGTCAGTACCCAGTCCCGTGGAGTCCACAAGCACTCTTAAGTGCCTTTGTCCCAGGGAGGCCCGTCCACCTTCTTGGACTTGCAGCTTATTCAGAACCAAAACCCTGCCGCTTTGATTTTGCAGAAGGGAACTGGCACTGGGGACTGCGGCGGGAAGGGACGGCTCTGGCTGGGGCAGGTCTCCCACCGCCGCAGAAGGACCTGCGTGGTGGCTCTCAGTTGTGCACCCAGCAGCTATGTCTTTGGAGACAAGTGCGTCCCTTAACGCTCTCTTTTCCACGTTTGCTTCCAAGGCTCTCAGGCACCCTTTCAGAGACATGCCCCGAACAGATTTCCCAGGCACAGACACAAGCTCTAACCCCCCGCACTGTTCCCCACATCCGGCGGTTCAGGCCTCCCACGAACAGGGGGCCTTCGGATACAAACACGTGGCTTTGCAGAGGCAGCGTGGCTCTCACCCCTTGCTCATCCACCACGAGGTCCAGATGCCTCCTCGTGACTCTGAGTTGAACAACGTGCCATTTGTTGTCGCTAACCAAGCGGAACGATGAAAGCTGAGTTTTCGTTTCTCCCCTTCCTACATGAGCCTTCAGTAGACCCTCATGTATTTCCAAGGCAACAAAATCTCTTCCTCTACCTGACTGAAATGAAAGCAAGGCTTGTTGGGTTCCAGTCTGCACAGCAAACCTCAGTGTCCCTTCACCCTGAACTCTCCATTCTGGAAAGGCAACATAGGATCTAGAGCTGAAAAAGCTAATAGCTTCATTCTTCCCAGCAAAAAACTCATCGTTACATCCCAGTGACACCTCATAAACCTTCTTGAAACCGGGGTAAGACCTGAGGGATGTCAGGACCTCCCTCTGGTTAAACAGCACACCCTCTATGCATCCTCGGAAGTTGGGGGTCTTTCCGTCCAGGTAAGGGACACTGAGTTCCCCACGACCTCCCACATAGATCCCATGGTGAAAAGTGAAGTTACGAATACCCCCATCCAGTTGGCTAGCTGTCCCATAATGCTTGTCAACAACCAAGAAAACCTTATCCTTGCCATAGTTCAGTTCCACAGAGTGCCAAAGCAAATTGTCCACACGAAGTCTTTGCTCAGAAAGGAGGAGCTGCTCACCCGTACCCACATTTAATTTCACCTAGGAGAGACAAGAGCCATAATTAATGAACCTCATAGTGTGTTATTGGGGGATAGAGGTGCTATGGTTTGACCCTACTAAAACTCATGGTGCAGCCTAAATAAATCCTGAACCCAGCAGGGCTGAGAGGTGCCGAGGCCTCAAAGAACTGATTGGGAAGTTAATGCAATGCTCTTCAGGAGAGTGAGCTTGCCTAAGTAAGGAGATGGATTGGTGACATGGGGTGCTAAAAAGCAGGTTTGCCCCTTGCTTCTTCCCATCCACCTTGATGCCTTCACCGGAAGCCAAGTAGACGCTACCATCATCCTCTTACACACCCAGAAACGAATCTACTGTGTATCTCCTTTATAAAGTAACCTAAATTACCCAGCTTCTGGTATGCTATTATTGTGAAGGAAAGGGAGGGAGGTTTGTTCCCTTTTTCTGTTGCTAGTAACTGAATGCTTATATATTTTAAAAATAATAATACCTGTATCATCCCTGACAGGAGTTCTATTAGGCAATAGTCAATTTTTCCAGCTGCAAGAAACAGTAAGCCTTGTGACTTGCTTGTTTGAAATCTCAACTGAAGCGACAGTCCAGAGGAAACTTCTGTGATGCTGAGCCCCACGTAGCTCTCTCCATAAAAGGATGCTTTGGGAAAGAGAAATACAGGTCAGTAAACTGACCCTGCTGAAGAAAGCCGCTTGCCAAAGACCAGTCCCATTGTCTCGGAGGCCCACCAACCCAGCATGAATATACTGAGACACAGCATTGTCTTCCCTAACTCGGGACAGCTCGGAGGAGGGGTCCCCTTCGCTAGAACCCTCCAAAGGAGCAGCCTTGGCTTTCACCAACCCTAAAGAGCAACTTGATTCTTTACCTACTCAAGTCTGCTCTCTTGCCTTGTGCAGGGTTCGATTCCAAGCTCCCCCTCATACAACTCTTGCACGTTAAGTTCCATCTCAGATTTAGCTTCCCAGGGAACCTAACTGGCACTGGAAGTAGCCTTAAAAAGTGGACTCTGGAAGGGACTCGATGCTGAACCTCCCTCAGCTGAAATGAAAACTAGGATGAGTGTCGCCATCGCTTGATAGGACCCAGGGAACCCTGGCAGTGATGTGAAAGTTTATTGGCGCCGGCTGTTAGTGGCGCACGCCTTTAATCCCAGCACTCAGGAGACAGAGGCAGGCAGATCTCTGTGAGTTCGTGTCCAGCCTGGTCTACAGAGTGAGTTCCAGGACAGCCTCCAAAGCTACAGAGAAGCCCTGTCTCAAAAACTCAAAAAGTTTCATTGGTTATGGGCTGGGATGGCACAGCAGTGCATACTGGTCCAGCTGTGAAACGTAAGCAATAGAAAGCAAAGGGTAAATATAACTATGAGGACGATGAAACTGGGCACCGATTGACAAGCCTGAGGCTTTACAGACAGGCAAGCTGATCGAGGTTAAGTGTCAATCATGACCTTTGTCCTCATGTCTCACAGGGGGAGTTAAGATTCACACCAAGGGACCAATCATCAGAGTAGCCAAAGCTCAAAAGGCCTCAAGTAAACAGCCTTGCTCCAACAAGGCAAAGGCTCTGGAAATGCGCTCTGATGCCATCAGGCAGCCTGAGTCTTAGATGGCCTTGAGCCCTCTGAGTCGCAGACGTGGGTTATTCTCGTATCAAGGCCAGCAGCTCGGGGTTTGCAGAACCCTCTCTCCACAAGATACCAGGGACTTTGAAGACAGAACCCATTGCTCCTGCCAGCAGCGAGACCCAAAAGCAAAGGGCAAGTCACAGCCCATCTACTGAGGGGTGGGGGTGGGGTGGGCTGGGAATAGTTAATGCAGACTCAGAGGGGGTGTCCATTTGGTTACCTTGGATGCCTCCTGGCAATGCATGGATGACGGTGGTCACCAAGGCATGCCGGCAAAGGCTCAGAGGAGTAAGTTGTGGCATCAGGTGGACACTGAAGCAAGAAGTGTCTGTCAGTTGGAGTACGAATCTACAGTGACTCAGTGGGTAAAGGAAAATCACCACTCAGCTATGGCTCCCTGGCTTCACATGACAGAGTTAACCCATGCGATGTGAGCGCAGCCCATGGCAGACTCTGCGGCAGGCACTTTGATGGAGGACTCCGGTTGGTATGGATGCTACTGGAAAACAGTCCCCAGCATCTTCAGAACCCTCGGGCCTAGTTGAGACTGTCCCGTAGCCTCCCTTCCCCTTCCCCTTCCCCTTCCCCTTCCCCTTCCCCTTCCCCTTCTCCTTCCCCTTCCCTTACCCAGAAGTCAATCCAAAAACACATGCTCTCTCAGCTTCTCTGCCCTATCTTTAACTGGGACCCACTGAAATGACAATCAGTTTCCTAAGGCGAAGACCGTATCTTTTGTATCTTTCTCTCTGGTACCTGGCACAGTCCCTAGCACACAGGGAATAGGATAAATTCTGTTGTTACCTTTTTGATGGGCTACACAGACCCATCCTTCCATTGAATTGCCTAGGAATTGCTGTAGGAAACCACACCAGCTAGCCCAGAAGACGAGCCAATGACTGATTAAGACAGAGGTCGCCGTGAACATTCATGATCTGGAGCGGCTGCCAGGTCAAGCTACAAATGTGCCGGCTGACACCACACCCTCTGTTGCTTCTCTCACTTGTTTAAACCCCCATGGGAGAAACCACTCAGATTCCTCACATCGCAGCTTCCTGGCTACGGAATCTGACTTGAAATGCATGTATTTATTTAACTGAACCACACTGGGTTAATAGACCCTTCGTTTTATAGTTGAGTAAAATTGGATCCCGCTTAGGAATTTAGGAAAAGGCCATGGTTGGTTAGAGCCAGGGCGAAAGGCAACAGTTCAGGTGTTTTTCTGATTTTATTTGTGTGTTTTTTTATTACCAAAACTTTAAGTTTACACAGAGATGAATATGGCCTCTGCAGAGTTCTCCAGATACCATAAGCATTATATCTGTTAGAATGGTCACAAAGGGAGGGAGAGGACAGCTTTCTGGAAACTCAAAGTCCCTCACCCTCGGAGGGTGGGGGGTCCCTCCGTATGTCTCCAGGGACTCTATCACCTGGAGTTTACTATCACCTCTTCCAGAGAAGAGCTGACCCACTTCGAGTGCGCAAGATGGCCACACAGATGTGCCCAGTACTCATCTCTTCCACAAGGAGGAGCCAAATCGAGAGCTGAGTAGCCTCAAAAGCAAGGGAACCTCTGCAAGGTCTCTCCCTGACAGTCAACCCTTAAAAGACTGTAAGACCTGGGACGACAGTATAGAAAGAAATAGAAGCATCCCAGCTTGTGCCACTAGGCTTTCCAGCCAGGGGAGGGAGATTCTGCTTGGTGGGGAAAATGGAAAACTCCATGATGGCCACTGCTGGCAGTCTTAGCTCCTGGCACATTTTCTAGCCATCACGGGTTTGCAAACTGGTTAGGGCAGCAAACTAGAGCCTACACAGCAGCTTTGCTTTTAAAAGGGAATTCTCATCTTCTCCTCCCGAACTTCCATGATGTAGGCTCTCGTGGCTTGGTCCCAACTTAAGAGGGAGCTGCTGTCTAATAGTGCTGGAGGAGTGTAAGCCCTTTTCACCGCCATCACCAGACACCACAGTTCCACCAAACTGGAGGCAAGGACTGCACACTCACAGACCCAACTAGACCCAGCAGAGCAGCTGTAACCCTAGCATCTAAGACTTCTCCAGCCCAGCATTACAGGGTCAGACATCTCACAGGTGATAGAATCATGGGGAGTTCGCCTTCCAGAACTGACGGGGCACAGTCCACTAGAAACAAGCAGTGTGAAACCATATGCATATGTGGACTCCGGCCAATACCAGGCCTGACGGTGCTTAACCACCCAAATCGTCTCAACCAGTAGATCAACCCTGTGCTGAGTTTGATGTTTTCTACTCTCCCTTTGCGGCCTGAAGACAGTGTCCAAAGCACTTCTGCAACCCGCACCCCCCCCCCCATAGTCCACAAGCATTGTAGTTCCCGCTACTACAGTGGGTTGCAAGTGAAGCCTTTGAAAAGAAACTCTATCTCCAAAAATATTCACATTACAATTCATAACAGTAGCAAAATCACAGTTATGAAGTGACAACAAAGTAGTTTTATGGTTGGGGTCAGCACAACCTGAGGGACTGTACTAACAGGCCAGTCACACATCAGTGAGGTTGAGAACCACTGGTCTACTAACATCACCCGCCCCTTCCCGCCCTCTCACCCACAGGTGTTGGAGTGGTTAACAGTGGACGCCCACACGCGCTCCGTGTACAACACACCTGCTGGAGCCACAAAAACGTTCCCACATGCACATGACCACCAGTCTGTCTGTGTCTGTGTTTCTCTCTCTCTCTCTCTCTCTCTCTCTCTCTCTCTCTCTCTCTCTCTCTCTGTCTGTCTCCCAAACTTCTCTCTCTCTCCTGATTTCTCAACACAAGCTCTCCTGTATAACCCCGGCTGTCCTGGAATTAGTTCTATACATGGGGCTGGCCTCAAATTCAGAGATCCACCTGCCTCTGCCTCCTGTATGAATGCCTAGCTCAACAGTGGGTCTCTTTAATTCTGCCATACTATGAGTTGTACATGTAACATTTATTAAAGTCAGATAAGCAACGAACACTACACTGCTATGCCCTAGAACTAAAGTCAATACCACATACCAGTGTAGGAACAATCTAGATAGAAAAAGAATATGGCAATATGATGTATCCAAAAAAATACATAATTCTCTAGCACTGGATTCTAAAGGAAATAACATTAATGAAATACCTGATAAAGAATTCATTTAAAATGATGATAAAGGAAGCCGAATAAAAATCAAGAAAATACAGATGATAAGTAAAGAAGACCAGAAAAACAATAGATCACATGAGTGAGAAATTCAGCAAAAAAAGAATGTTATATGTTCACACAGGACAGTTTTATTCAGTGCTAAAGAACAAAACTGTGCTGTTTTTAGGGGAATGGATGGAATGGAGGTCCCCATGTTAGGCAAAATGAGCCAGACTCAGAATAAAACATATGTTACATGATTACATGACATGATTACATAGATTACATAGATTACATGACATGAAAGTGGATACAAAATTGTTTGAGAGGAGGAGGGCACCATGGGCTGGAGGGGATGGATAACTGGGGAAGAAAGAATATGAGAAAAATACACAATACACATGTATGAAAATTTCAAGTAAAGCCTAACCTTTTGTAAAATGAATATATATTAGAAAGAGACAAAAACATTAGAAAATATAAAATATAAAAAAAATCAGCAATGAAATGGAAATCTTGAAAAGGAATCAAACAGGAATTTTGGAAACGAAAAGCTCAACAAGTCATTTAAGAACTACAGTCAAAAGCCTCAACAACAACTAGATCAAATAGAATCAGAACTTGAAGACAAGTCTTCCCAAATCTCTATCCGATAAGGAAGGAGACTAAGTAGGAGGAAAGGGAGAAGGAGAAAGAGGGATGTTAAAGAGTGTCTTCAAGAACTTTGGGGCATCATTAAATGCACAAATATTGCATCTCAGGAGTACCTAGAGGAAAACCTGCCTCGTCTCAGGGAAGGCCTGGATGTCCAAACAAAGGAGTCAAATGACCCAAATAGATGTGTCCAGAAAAGACGCTCACACCAACACGTTATAGTCAAACTGCCAATGTCATAAAACAAAGAATGATAAACCCTGAAATAAGAAAGAAGCTCTGAGTCATATTTAAGGGAATGTTCATTAGACTGACAGGACATTTATTTTTACTGGAGTCTCACTATGTCTCCTAGGCAAGCCTTGAGTTCAAATCCCTGCCTCAATCTCCTAAGGGCTCAGATTACAGGCATGTACCACCATGTCTAGCTGCCAAAAAGCAGACTTCTAAGATGACCAAACAGAGGAAGAAGAGAATCAACTTCAAGTGCTGTCCTACACCTGCACACACACACACACCATGGCAGCTTACACCACACACATGCACACATACACATGCACACATACACACACACACACGCATGCACGCGCACACACACACACACACACACACACGCATGCACATGCACACCATGGCAGATCTCACCACACACACATGCACACATACACCATGGCAGTTTACACCACACACATGCACGCATGCACACACACACACATGCACACACATGCACACACACAGAGAGAGAAATACAACAATTTTTTAAAATTTAAAGACCACAAACAGTTGTAAATATATATACACCAGTGTAGATACACAAAATTCCATAAAACAATTATTAACAGAGCTAAAGGAAAAGACAGGATCTAATACAAAATAAAAAAGAGAATAATGCACTCCCATCAACGGATAGATCATCCAAATAGAAAATCAACAAACATAATTGCATTATACTCTAGATCAAATGGCATTAGTAGGCATGCCATGAGATATGATAAAATATTTCTTACATTCTAAAAGACTGGAAGTTTTGTTGGACCTCACAGCCAGAGTTACTAACACACCTTGAGGTCACTTAAGACTCAAGACTGTAACAAGCCTGTTTGTTTAAAACGCCTCCAAGAGAACAATGAAATAACCAACCTTCCTTGCCTTGTATGCCCATGTAACCAGCTTTTAAAACCAAAGCTAAAGTACAACTGTAATTTTAAATTATGTACTCTGCAATACCCCTGACCCAGAGTAATGCAAGTGTGTTATGATAATCCTTTGCTGGAAATAGCAGATATAGGCTTATAAAATGGGCATCCACCATAAATGTTAAATGCAACGTTTGGACATTATATGAGGAATAGTAATGTTTGTTATTGGTCAGGTAGGGTCAATTGGTATCAATGACCTAATCCCTTGTAGAACTCTGTTAAAGATTTCTATGAATTATTCCTTAGTCCTTCCCTATGTGATGTTTTTTTGTACTACTCAATAAACACAGAGTAAAGCCCTTTTTTGGGGCACTAGGGCACACAGTTAGGCAAGGACACATTTGGGCACACACACACAGGTGTGCATGCATATGCACACAGACACATAGGGACCGACAGACATCCACAGGGGGAGGACGGTGCAGGGACCATTCGGGGATGCATGGTTTCAGACTCAGGCAGCAGACAGTCAGAATGGAAGACATTGGGAGAGATAAGCAGAGAATTCAAATCTGGGCTCACTCTTGGTTAAATGACACCAAAGGAAAATGTTCTGATTTTTTTCCTAAACGTGACACTGATGCATTACCGGAGAGTTTGAGCTTACTAATTAATGTGTTCAAACCAAGCACAAGCAGGCACTTTCAGAACATTTCACCAACACCAATAATACATACCTGCCATCCTTAAGTACATAGAACTCCCTTAAATATAGCATATATTAGATTCAACCTAGATCTCAACAAACCCAAGTCAAAATCATACCAGTATCTTTTCAGACAGAAAGGGAAATACAACCATAAATTAACAACAACCAACTGCAGAAGCTGTGCAAATTCATTGAGGCTTAACATACCATGGGTCATTGAAGAAATCAAAGAGAAATTCAAAAAGGTGTAAGTAGAAACTTGTGGAACACAGCAAAAGCAGAGAAAGTGTGTTTCACAACAAATGAAGGATTTTCAACATGCAGCCTGATAATAAATCTCAAGGACCTAGAAGCAAATCAAACCCCAAGTTAGTCAAAGGAGAGAAATAACAAAGATCAGGGGAAATTAAACAAGATAGAGCCTAAAAAAGATACAAGATCAGTGAGGCAAAGTTTTTTTTTTTAAAGATAAACAAAAGGAATAAAATAAAACACCTAGAAATAAATTTAGCCACGGAAGTGAAAGGAAAATTAAGAAGATATCAAAGACACACACAAAAGAGAAAGACATTTCATGTTCATGAACTGGAATAATTCATATTATTAAAATGTTCATATACTATCTTAAGTGATTTGCAAATTCAATTTAGTTTCTATCAACATACCAGTGATACTCCTCACAGAGCTAGAAAATGTAACGTGTATAGTTTTTCCACCCGCAGCCCAGTCTTGTCCCGCTGCCGCGCCAGCCCCAAATAACACACAGAGACTCTGTATTTGATACAATGCTGTTGGCCCGGTTACTAGTTTCTTATCGGCTAGCTCTGTCTTAATTATTAACCCATTTCTGCTGATCTATGTATTTCTCTTACCGGGAGCCGGCGGCATACTGCTTTCTCCATACTCTCCATCTTGACTCCTCCTTCCTACTTCCTATTTCCTCCTTGTCTCCTAGTCCCTCCTATCTTCCTTTCCTATTGGCCAACAGTGCTTTATTATTAACCAGTATGAGAAACATATACAGAATGACATCTCCCATCATCTCCTCTTTTCTGTCTAAATAAAAAGGGTTTTAACCTTATCATAGCAAAATATATCACACAACAGTTATCAAGTAAGAATCACAGTTAACAATATTTAGTCCATTAACATTTAGCAAGATTTGAAGAAAATATTCCATAATCTATTTTATCTTTGTGTGTCTAAAGTCTAAGTAACTTATCTTTAATCCTAACTAATGAACTATAACCATAACTATCTGTCTTCAACTCCATCAAAGACCACAGAAGGATAGTATATAAACTCTAGAAATGACAGAGACAACTCACTGCCTGGTCACCCAAAGTTCTTTTGTAATCTTCCATCTTCAGCCCATAGGTGATCGGAGCAGACACTTCTCAAAAGGAGAAATACAAATGGCCAATAGATGTATGAGAAATGTTTGACTAGCGAAACTCACTAGTGACTAGTGAAAATTCAATTCAAAACTATGACTCGACTTATTAGAATATTATCAGAACAGGAACAAATGCTGTTAAGTATATGCAGAAGGAAAGAGACATTTGTACACTGTTAAGAAATGTAAATTAGGACAATCAATATGGAGATTCCTAAAAACAGTTACTAGATCTACCATAGGAGCAGCCTTCCCATTCGACGAAATATCCAAGGGATGGAAGGAAACCAAGGGATGAGTCATGCACATGTCCATGTCCATGTTTGCTACAGAAACATGTCCATGTTTGCTACAGAACTATTCACAGCAGCTAAGAAAAATCAGCAGCAGACAAATGCATAAATGACATTAGATAAATTGTGGATAACGATAATGCTACATAGATGTTAGACAGATAATGTCTACATATATAATGCATTATTATTGGGCCATAAAATTAATTACAGCAAGATGGGTGGAACCAGGGAACATTAGGTGAGTGAAATATGTTCGTCTTGCCTGTGGAAATCTTGTCTTTTTCCTTTTCTTTTTTCTTTTCTTTTCTTTTTTTTCCATTCCTTAATGTAGGAAGGTGTTAACTAGGAGCTGCGAGGAAGGAGGGTAAATCGAGGCTGTAATTGATCAGTACACACTGTTTGTGTGTGTACTGATTAAAAAAAATATTCAAAAAGTCAGTCAATGTCAATAAATATAGTAATAAGTAAACTCAGCGCCAGGATACAGCGCTAAAGTCATTAAGATGAAGCAAGCAGTCACAAACTCCCAGCCAGCTGAGTTTATTCTCCTGAATGCCCCCCACATCCCAGTTTCTGACAGGCTGCATTGTTAAGTGTTCAAAGCCAGGAAATGTCTTCTAAATCATAAGATCTACCGCTGAGATGACTAAATAACATTCATAAACAATATCCTTACATTTTCCCACATTTCACCTCTCTGGCACATATTTGTAATATTTATAATGGCCAGCAATTTCTCCCATGAGACGATTTTCAGTATCGCATTTGCCTTACTTGGCTCTAACTCGTTCTCCCAAACTCTTCCTAATATTTTTATTAAATTTCGGTTTTTGTGTTTGTTCTGGTTTGGACTCGAGTTTGACCTACTCTTTGCTGAGTGTTTAGCACGAGATGGGAGCTGGTCTGGGTGAGCTGGAGGCAAGGGGAGGAGGAAGCAGACCAACCCTTTCTCCCAGGTCCACCAAGGAGCCCAGGGATGTTCTTTGGTACTGAAGATCCAAAGGTAAGCACAAGAGGCCGGTGCTGTTTCCCTGTCGGTTGCTGTGATTAAAATACCCGGAGGAAAGCAATGTGTAGACACATTCCATCCTGGCGGGACTCGGGGCAGCAGGCCGGGACAGTGTGGTGGCAGGAACGAAGGGGAAGCTAGCTGGCCATCTACACTCAGAATGCAGAGTGAAAGTGAGGCCAGGCCAGCACGCCAGGCCTGCCCCAAGTGACACTTGCTCCAGGGGGGGGGAGGCTCCGGCCAAAGCTTCCCCGCTTTCCCAACTGCACCGCCAGCTGGGGACCAAGAGTCTGAACACAGAAACAGTGCCCGTGTCTAATCATCAGACCAGGATCGCTCAGCCGCTAAGGAGCATGCAGGGGTTTCTCACTCAGCCGCTAAGGGGCGTGCAGGGGTTTCTCACTCAGCCGCTAAGGGGCGTGCAGGGGTTTCTCACTCAGTCACTAAGGGGAGTGCAGGGGTTTCTCACTCAGTTACGGGCATGCAGGGGTTTCTCACTCAGTTACGGGCATGCAGGGGTTTCTCACTCAGTCACTAAGGGGCATGCAGGGGTTTTTCACTCAGTCACTAAGGGGCATGCAGGGGTTTCTCACTCAGTCACTAAGGGGCATGCAGGGGTTTCTCACTCAGCCGCTAAGGGGCGTGCAGGGGTTTCTCACTCAGGCACTAAGGGGCGTGCAGGGGTTTCTCACTCAGCCGCTAAGGGGCATGCAGGGGTTTCTCACTCAGACACTAAGGGGCATGCAGGGGTTTCTCACTCAGTCACTAAGGGGCGTGCAGGGGTTTCTCACTCAGTCACTAAGGGGCATGCAGGGGTTTCTCACTCAGTTACGGGCATGCAGGGGTTTCCCGGCAAGGCTTGGGGGGGGGTGCAGCAGGAGGAATGGTGGGAGAAAACGGGGAGAATTGATGGCACAAGGAACTGAGGGTCCTGTGTGGCTAAGTGCAGCATGAAGAAGGGGATGGGTACAGCCGAGGCCGCACCGCAACTTGAACAAAGAGGAGAGGGCGGCCTTCTCCACGCGGAGGGCCTTCTCCCAGCATAGAAAGTGCCTTTGCGACTGGCTGCTCCTTCCATGGCCTTTATGAAGCATCGCTGATTGTTATCCGGCCCCAGTAACATGCCACCCCAAGTAGAAGGTTAAGATTTGGAGATCAAAACCTTGTTAGTCAAACCGCCACCTAATTCTCAATGCACAGAACGATGCCCCGCACACGCTAGACTACTTAATAAATACCTGCCTTGGAAATCAGGCCTCTGTCAAGAGTGGGTCAGAAAGGAATCAGTTAGGGAAACAACACAATCAGACCGTAACTCAGGAGATGACAGCTCTGAGACACGGGCTCAGAAAGAGAAGAGAAGTGAGTGAGCTCCTGAGATTGGGGGGGGGGGGGGGATGCTAGAAGGCAGTCCTGACCAACTTCCAGATTTGGGGTTTGGTTGCAACTTCCTGGGGTGGAATCTGGAATGAGAAGATGCTGTGCTCTGAGTTGTGTAGATGCACATACAAGTTTGGGGAGCAAATGAATGGCTTACCAGCTAGGCAAGCAGAAGGTCCCTTGCTGGTGGGCCTGTTAAGAAGGAACTGTGAACAATGGGAAGCATTAAAGTCTTCGGTTACAGAGACAGATGCCTGCATTTTACAGAAAAGGGTCTGGTGTCTCTGTGGATGAGAATATAAATTAAAGAAGTATTCAGAAGAATACTTTAGGTCTATTTGCCATCACTGAAAATTAGAATTGCTTTTCTATAACTTTAGTATCTGGGTTAGTGTCCTATCCTGTCCTTCATCATACCACTGTGCTTACAAATGAGTTCCAGGAGCATCATGGGTGTAGAAATTTGTCTTTAAAATTGAAATTGGAAAGAAATAAAAGCCAAAACCAAAAACAAAATCTCTCCAGCATCACACAAAATCCTAAGATGAAGTTCTAAGAAGAGAAAGGGCATCACACGCTTCCTGTGTGATTTAAGCTCAGGAATCAGCTGGAAAGTCAGATTGTGCCCTATAGATCTTCAACAATCTCTAGTGCTTTAATATGCGGCGGACGTTGTACGCATCAAGTTGAAGTGGGCTGTTTATTCAAGAGGCAGCTAACTTTACCCAGATCTTCTGAAGAAAGAAAGGAAACTTACAAGCAAGAAATAACTTAGCAGAGACACCCTAAATACCCTACACAACCTCCCTGCAGACTAACACAGAACTCTGCTCCATTAAATTTAAATCCAAGTAGGAAATCAATGAACTAAAATCTGCTCTGTGGCTGCGGAAGGTCTGTGGGACGCTCGCTCTGTGAGCTGTGAAGGGGAACTCTGGCCCCAAGCCCTGTGCTAAATGTGCTGTGGAAATAGCTGGAGGAAGACAGAGAGCAGAGCGCAGTAGGTTCAGACACACCAAAACATCTTCAGTTTCCAGGTTGGTCTAGCTAGGTCTAGCCTTTTACAGCCCTTTGGCTCTCGGCAAACCATAGCCCACTAGGCTCTCAGCTCTCCAATTCACCCAACTATTAGCCTTGGTGCAATTGCTCTGGGCTAGGTCCTCGGGCTCCCAAGGCAAAACCAGCAGTTACTCCACCCTTACCTCCTCTCTGAAGGATTCCATGTCTGGCACTACTCTGAGAGCAGCTGTTCCTGTAGTCTCTGATGCAAACAGTCCCTGCTGAATAATCGAGTGGAGTAGTCCTGGGGCTCAGTCTACCCTGGTTTTAGCTTCCCTGTGCTGTACACAGCGACTCTGCCCAACCATTCATGATCGGCATACGGTATCTGTTTCCCAGCTTCCTCCTCAGATGTGCACGTCCACGCTGGACCCAAGCATCCTCCCTGGAATGACAGCTTTCCCCCTAAGATCTGCGGTGGGTAGCTCTTCCAGCCTCTCCCTCCTCTCCAAGGCACCTGCCTGCTCATGCCCTTGCCGGAATTCTGCTTCCCTTATCTATCTTTTGTGCACCATGGTCAGTCGGTAGGCTTTCCAACTGTGAGGGCCCAGCACTACACACCACGTGCCACCTGCTGTCACACCAGCCGCCAAGGGACTCTGAATCTGTGCACCAGTTTTGAGATACCAATCGTAAAAGGAGTGCCAGGATGTTTACCACAGAAATAGAAGAATATATGAGGACGACGCGTAAGGTTGTTGTCATCTAAACACCCAAACGACAACAGCAGAGCTTGGTTTGTTTGTTTCAGTGTTGATGAAACTCTGTCTCCACTGGCACGGCTGCCCACCACGTGTTGCACGGCCTTCCAAAGGCAAACAGGGAACTCTGGAGAGTGGGCTGGTGGTCCTCTCCTCTTGGCAGTCACTCACGCCACATGCAGGCTCTTCAAGTACATTATCTCACTGTCAGCAAACACATCCTCAAAAAAGAAAAAAGAAGTCCTGTGGCGGCTTGGTTTGGGTGTGGGCAGTATCCCAACAGTTAAGAGTTTGGAGCCTAGTCCCTACTATGATGAAAAGAGGTGACTGAAATGTTAAAAGGAGGTGACTAGTGGAAGATCATCCGGTCACTCAAGGCATCACTCCTTGGAGAGCCTGGGGTAGTTCTCAGGGAACCCTTGTTAGCTCTCTGGAGAGAAGTCCCACTCTGGACATTCGCTGGCTCCTCTCAGCCTTATGCAGGCTCCGGGCATAAAGCCAGCTGCCAGAATTCCCTCGCCGGAGCCAGCACAAAAGTCATGAGCTAAGGAAATCTCTTTTCTTTAAAAACAAATTCAGGGCTGGGCGGTGGTGACACACACCTTTAATCCCAGCACTCAAGACGCAGAGGCAGAGAGAGGGATCTCTGTGAGTTTGAGCCTGGTCTACAGATTGAGTTCCAGGACAGGCTCCAAAGGTACAGAGAAATCCTGTCTCAAACAAGCAAACAAACAAACAAAACAAAACAACAACAAATTCAACCTTGGGTATTTTCTCGGAGAAAAATAATGAATATAAGACATTTAAAAATTTCTTCCAAATAAGCCATGGGTAAAGATACATTATAAACAATGAAAAGAGCTGCAATGCAAACCAACAGGTCAATCTGGCTCTTTCCTTCTGGAACAAGTGCCCATTCAGCCTTGTTAGAATGCAAAAGAAATACCTGACAAGAAGGTGTTCAAAATTAGAAATACTGAAAACAAAATAAAAATAAACTACTGATAATCTGTATCGAATGCAATGTACATCCTAGTACCTTCAGACAGTGGCCAACAACAGCAGTATGACTCGAATAAAATACAAGGGGCATGTGCACTAAAAGTACTTTTTCTAGACATTGTGTCCCTCCAGACAAAGGTGGCTTCTGTAGTGATGACTTGCCAAGCTGACCTGTCCTTCACCCTGGACCCTTCAAGGAGCAGGAACAGAGCTCACCTTGGGCAACTCAATTGTTCAAGAAAATCCTCTGAATTATGCAAGGAGACAAGGGGGATGAATTCAATTACACATGTGGCAACTCAGGAAGACATTCTCAGGACTGGAGGGATGGCTCAGCAGCTACAAGCTTGAGCTAACCGTCCAGAAGACCTGAGTTCAATTCCAAGACTTCACATGGTGGCTCACAACTGTCTGTAACTCCAGGTCTAGGGTATCCAATTCCCAACACCACCAGGCACATATGTGGGAAACAGACATATGTTCAGGAAAAAACACCCATAGCCACACCCACGCACAACTGTAAAGGCTTGGCTCTGACTGGGGTGGAAAGGGAATGAAGAAAAGACAGACAGACCGACAGACAGATCATCTGACCCAGACGCTCAGCGTACTTATTGTATAGAGTTGGACAGAGAGACAGTTACTGTTACTACACACAGATAAACAAAGAGGCAGGGCTCGTGGTACCCAGCTGGATCAAGGAGACAGGAGACAGACGGTTCAGCTAATCTCAGGAGCAGTCTCTGAAGGCCAGACTGGGGGCTGAGGTGGAGCTGTGATGGACATTTTCTACACATGCTGTCACACCCACACATGGACCAGAGGAAGGCTTTGCCATGTCCCTCTTGGCCTCACCAAAGGGACAAGGGGAAGATTTTGTCATTCCTGTATGGATCTGAGGCTCTGGGGCCCTTGACATGGTGGAGCTCGGGACTGCCTCCTCTCCCTACAAGCAACCCAGCCACATAAAAGAACAATAATAAAATATTCTTCCAACCATCACCACGTAGATTTTGGCAAGATTTGGGCCTACAATATTTGTCATGCTGTCGGGATCGTGGATGAAGAACATACATGTTGGAGTGCCTGCTGTGGGATTCTTTATTTCAACAGCAAAGCCACAAGCCTAGCCCAAAGGAGCACACAGCCTACCATGTCCTGGCCACGCCCATTGCCCTGAAGAGGAATAATGACTAGGGAAGGCTGGGAATGAGTATTTACTGAGCATGCTCGGTCTAATAAGAGTTGTTTTAGTTAAGCCTCTCTGAAGATGTAATAACCATAGTAAATCTACATTGGCAAAACCAAATCTCGAAGTAAGCGTGCGGAGTAACTGGAAACGGAAGACAGCCCTTGGGCTTGAAGCCTAACTGACTGCTAAGCCCGGAGCTTCTGGTTGCCCCCACACCATTTCTGGCTCCCTGTGTGATACCATCCCCTCTGTCAAAGGCCATTCACTGCCCCTTGGAGCCCTCCCTTCAGTCAGACAACAGTTCCAGGGCTAGCGTCTTTTGCCACACCCACCCTTATGACCAGAACGGAAGGAGGCGAGGACCTAAGAAATAAGGAGGAAGATGAAGGGATAGAACTTTCCAAGCAGCCTCCTCATCACTTGGAAAGGCAGGGTGAGGAGCCCTCCGGGACCTAGACGGCCCCTGGACCGTTACCCTGAAAATGAATTTAAGTCTTCAGAATCGTATAGAAAATACTACAGGCATGCAACTCCTGTGATTTGGAAGTCCTGCAAGTCTTTTGTTGACTTAAGGGCGGGAAGGCCCAGGGACCGGGGCCCAGTTGTGTAAAGGTTTAAAGAAGCACGTGCCTAGTAATCTGGAAAGTAGGCTAAGCGCCAAGGAAAAAGAAATCACTTTACGCATTTGGGCTCAGAAAAGGTAAGGGACGAGGGGGCCAAAGAATATCCTAGATGAACTGGAGTCCCCGAGTCACACGAG